GTGGGTCTGGGGGCTTTGTCTGTGCTTTGGGGTCTCCTCACCCCAGATGGCCTTTGGAGGAATGAACCTCCTGTAGCCGCCAGTGTCCCCCCAGCGAGCGCCATCGAGGGTGGGGTGCAGTGCCCTGGAAAGCACTCCCAATGCAGACGCTCCCCACTCCCCCTGCCCTGCCAGGAGGAAACTGAGGCACAAGCCCACGGCTCTCCCAGGGCTCGGGGGCTGGGTCCCCAACGGGAAGGGTCCCAACAGCTGGGGTCAGGCCCCAGGAGCCCTGGAGGGGGGGGGTCCGTCGCTGCAAGGGGCACTTCCTGTCTCCCTAATGAGGTACTCAGGGAGCAGGTGATGAAACCGCAGCCTGGGTTGCATAAGGGAGGCGGGGCCGCCCATCCCCTGCATACCCCCTCCCCGCGCCCCCCTCTCACTTCCCCTTCCCACCCCCCCAATACCCCCCGTGCCTCCAGGGGCTGACATTGCTCCCCCAGACCCCCTGACCTTTTGGGGCGCCTGGACCCCCGCTGGCGGCTGGGATGCTGCTGCCTCTCATCTGTCTTCTCTGGGCTCCTGGGCTTGGGCTCCATGTGCTCTGCTGTGGGGGACAGGGGGCCCCCATTCACAGCGGCCAGCTGGGGTTCCCCTTTGGGGCCCCAAGGAGCCTGTCTGATCTGAGCACCCCACTTCCCACCAGGGGCCCCTGAAATCTTCCCCTGCACCCCCCAGCAGCCTGTCCCTCTCAGTCACCAGTGCTGCCCCTCCCCTGCCCCCGCAGCCTCCTGGTCACCACACCCCATGGAGGGGGTCCGGCTGGAGCACTCAAACCCCATCGGGGCCGCGCCCCAACCCCCTGCTTGCGCTTGCTGACTTGTCATTGTGTCCCCCCTTCTGAGGGCCATCTCACCTGTTCTAGAACCTTCTGGGGTGGAGTCCTGCAGGCTCATGTGGGGGTCCCTGTCCCGGGGCTCGTGAGATCCCCATCTTGGCCTGTCTGGGTGTGCAGCTCTGGGAGAAGGGGCCATGCAGGTCCCCCGCACCCCACAGCTGCCGCTTCCCCACCCCCACAATGCAGCGTCTTCTCTTGTGGCCACAGTGGTACAGGGTCAGGGCAGTCGGGGGCTGCCTGGCCGAGGGGGTCAGGCTGGGGTGATCAGTAGCCACTGGCCGAGGAGCTCCATCACTCAGCCTTGAGCCCGCTGGGGTCTCACACTTGCTGTGGCCGCAAACTCCATCCAGGGTGGCCTTTCCTGGCTGCCCACTGAAAGCCAGTTGGGAACCCCAGGAAGGTGCACGGGCAGGTGAAGCTCATTGGGGGTGGGGGGCATGTCTGGATAAGCTTTGTGTTCTTTGGGGGCAGTTCTTGCCTATGATCGGTGCTTTGGAAACACTGACGATGAGGGGTGGCCGCCCCCAACACAGGCAGGCCTCCCTATCTAGTGGCTCCGGCAAGATCCACTGAGGGACTTCTTCTTCCCAGAAGCCCTCCTAGACTTCTCCTCAGCTCTGCTGTGGGCCTGGGGCCTGGGGTCTTGGTGCCTGGCAGGTGCCGCCACAGCCATTGCTCCCTGGCTGGGTGCTTGTGTGTGTGTTGGGGGGAGGGGAGACAGGGATGAGTGCCTCCCCGAGACTTTCCCCAGCCCCCAGCTCTCCGCCCCCGCCTCGTGCCCAGACACGGCTCGTGCCACCACTTCCGCCGGGTGCCTGGTTCCCAGTGTGTGGACACCTGGACTGGGCCAGGCTGTCTGCGGCCCAGCCTGGGCATTTGCATGTGGGACACTTTTCTGCGCGGCCGGGTGGGCGCTCGCCTCCCGTGCTCACTCCAGCTGCTCACACCTGGCCCCGAGGGCGCAGTGCGGGCTGCATTTGCATGCATGTATTTCTGAGCCGCAAGCAGCAGGCCGGGTCCAAGAGGAAGTTGTTGAGGGACACTGGAGGCGCCGCTGCCGCATCCCCCTCATCCTGTTCCACTCACGCACCTGCTCCTCCTGGTCACCCCTGGAGTCCAACCTGGGGGAGCAGAGCTGAACGGGGCAAGTAGGGCAGAAAGGCCAGGGGAGCTGTGGGAACACATGGAGAAACAGGGCTTTGGAGGGGCTGGAGCCACAGAACAGTGGGAAGGGGCTGGCCCTGCATAAGACCCACCAGGTGTGATCCCTTGGCACCCCGTATGGTGCCCTGAGCCCACCAGGAGTGATCCCCAAGCCAGAGCCAGGAGTCACCCCTGAACACCACCAGGTGTGGCCCAAAAACCGAAAAGAAATGTTCTTATTTGATCTGGGCTTTGCAGCGGGAACAAGAGCTGGCCCAGTGCAGCCGGGGTAGAAACACTTCCGGCGTGTGTGAAAGTGCAGAGGCGGGTCAGGTGGGCCAGGTGGGGGGCAGGGACCCTCCAGGGGCAGCGGGAGCCTTGGAGTGTGTGGGCAGAGGGAGGAGACTGGGGGTTCCTGGGTCATCTGAGGCCGCCGGGGCAGGCGACTCCCAGGGTGGACCAGAGCAGACTCGCCCTGGCCTCTGTGGTCCCCAGCAGACTGACCCCGTGGCAGGAGGGGAGAAACCACCCGGCACCGCCACCCTGTGCCCCTGCACAGCCCCTTCCCACCCCCACTCCTCCTCCTGCTCCCCCTCCTCCTGTTCCCCCCTCCTCCCGCTCCTCCTCCTATCCTGCCCCTCCCGATCCTGCTTTTCTCCCTCTTCCTCCTCCTCTCGCTCCTCCTGCTCCTTCTTCTCCTGCTCTTCCTCCTCCCGCTCTTCCTTCTCTCCTGCTCATTCTTTCTCCTGCTCCTTCATCTTCTCCTTCTTCTCGTGCTCTTCTTCCCCCCGCACCCCCACTCCTCCTGCTCTGTCCCCCGTCACCTGAACTCACTGTCTGTCCCTGCTCCTAGCCTCCCTGCGGACAGCCCCAAGGAAGCCCGACCATCCCGTCTAGAACAGGGACTGGTGAGAAGCAGCGGGGACCCCCAGCCCAGACTCAGACTGAGCCCAGGTTCCTGGAGGGATGGGGGTGTTGGAGGCATTTCCAGACTCATCTGGGCATCTGGAGGGAGTGCCCCATCCATGTCCCGGATGGTGTGCAGGCAGGCACGAACATCCCAGACGTGGGAACGCTCCCATCCCAGTGTCGGGGGTTAAAATTAGCCCTGAGGTTAAATTTAGCAGGTTGGCAGTTCCTGGGGGGCAGAGAGGAGGTTTCTGCTGCCCAGTGGGTGCGGGGGCCCAGGGAGGGCAGCAGCGTGTGGGTCACCCAACAACAGAGGAGATAGGGTGCAGGAAGGGTCCCTCCCAGGGCAGGGCTGCCTTTCTGGGGACTGGGGAGGGTTGGGGCCATATTTGGTGATGCTCAGGGATCACTCCTAGTGGAGGTTGGGGGATCCTGCGGGGTGCCAGGGATCAAATCCAAGTTGGCCATGTGCAAGGATAGCGCCCTGCCGGTCCCGTCTCTAGCCCTTAGAGCTGCTTTCTTGTCATCTTAGGGGGCCCCCTGACCACGTCCTCAGACCAGCACCCAGAGGCCCACCCAGGAGACCAGCCATTTGTCCAGAGCCCCGGGCAGGGGTCCTGAGCATGGTCTCCTGTGCCTGGGGTGGCTGAAGGTCCTTGTGGTCAGAAGGGCTGGCCAGCTCCTCAGCCTCTGGGTCAATAGCTGGAAGACACCATGGGTGGGACGGGGTGGGTGCTGTGGGTGGGAACCCCGGAGAGTGGAGGTCCCACAAGGAGGTGTGGGACTTGCTCCCCGTCACCCCAGCTCCTAGCCTGAGACTGTTCAGGATACACCAGGGCCGACTCTCCTTTAAAGTAAAGAGTTGTGGGGCTGGCACAGTGGGAGGGGTTCAACCTGCACACGGCCAACATGGGTCGATTCCCAGCATTCCATAGGGTCCCCCAAGCCCTGCCAAGAGTGATTCCTGAGTGCAGCCAGGAATATAGCACCTGTTCATGACCTCCTGTGGCCCCCTCCCACCAAAATAATTCATAAGAGAGAGAGAGAGAGAGAGAGAGAGAGAGAGAGAGAGGAGTGTTTTGGATCTGGAGTGATCATCGGGCTAGCAGGGCACTGGACATACACGTGGCTGACCCTCAGTAAAGAGTGATCCCTGAGCTCAGAGCCAGGAGTCAGCCCTGAGCACTGCCAGGTGTGACCCCTCCTAAGACACGAAACTTTTCTTTTGAACTGGGGCAAGAGGGACTGGAGCAATAGCATAGCGGGTAGGGCATTTGTCAGGCACGTGGCCGACCTGGGTTTGATTCCCAGCATCCCATATGGTCCCCTGAGCACCACCAGGGGTAATTCCTGAGTGCAGAGACAGGAGTACCCCTGTGCATCACCAGGTATGACCAAAAAAGCCAAAAAAAAAGCACTGTAGCACTGTTCTCCTGTTGTTCATCGAGTTGCTCGAGCAGGCCCAGTAACATCTCCATTGTGAGACTTGTTACTGTGTTTGGCGTATCAAAAAAAAAAGTTGGGGCAAGAGCCTGTCAAGGGGTAGGAGATAAGAAAGGGTGAGGCCTTGCGGGTGCCCATCCCAGTTTCCATCCCTGTGGTTTAAGTGGAAATAATGTGGAATCACTAAAGTGAGGGGATAGAAAACAGATCATCCAAAGACCTCATCTGCCCCAGTGTGGGTGCCACAGAAACGTCCAGAACAGTCCCTCCCCAAACAGGAAGTGGAGGGAGAGGAAGTCTGCCCAGGGAAATGAAATGTTCTGGAACCAGAGGGAGATGGTGTCTAGGCCCAAGCCTTGTGGCACAGCAGAGGAGCATCCACTTTCCTTACATGACTTGAGTCCCGACTGTGTGGCAGGGGAAGGCTCCGGCCAGTGGACAGCACAGACCTCGGCGCGGCTGGGGACGCTGGGGCCTGTGTGGACCCTGCTGGCCTTGGGCATTAGGGCCCTGTCCCTGGGCTCTGGCTGCTGTGCTTGCTCAGTGCCCGATGCCATCAACCATCACGCACATGCGGGGCTCCCAGGGGCCCCATGTGCGTTATCTGCCCTCCATGTGCCCCCTCTCCCCCTCAGTCTTGGCAGGGCACTGTACCCATCCTGTCCTCTCGTCCTCCGCTAGACCCTGCTCACCGCCCAACCTGGGACGATGGGGAGGAAAAAAATCCAGATCTCGCGCATCCTGGACCAGCGGAACCGGCAGGTGAGTGTGGCGGGTGGGGGCGGGGAGGGGGAGGAGTGTTCGTGGGGGTGGGGGATGGGACGATGATGAGGTCTGGAAGTGGCCTCTGTCCTGGGCAGCTGGGGCTGGAGGGAGCGGGCACCGGGCGGGGCCTAGAGGAGCGGATCTGGAGGGGCAGGTGGAGGGGCGTGGCCATAGGGGCGTGGCATAAGGGGCGGGGCCTTGGAACGCTCGTCGGCATGGGGCGGGGCCTGGAGGGGCGGGCAGCGGGGCGGGGCCGGAGGGGCGAGCAGCCGGGGCGCTAGGGCGAGCAGGAACCTGTGCCTTTTCCGTGACGTGCTTGTTCATTCTCACTCCTTGGGGAATAGAGCCCCCCCTCCGCCACTCCACCCGACTTTGAGGGGCCTTCGGAGGCTAGACCCAGCGGGGAGGCTCAGGCAGGAAGCGCGGACACTCCCTGAAGTTGGGGCTGAGCACAGACAATGCAGGCTTTGCAAGCGCGGGGTGGGCGGGTCTGGGTTCTATCCAGCCCCTCCTGGATCCACCAAGCACCACTGGGCAATGCCCAAGCGCAACCAGGAGTGGGCAAGAGCCCGCTGGGCATGCCCTTTCCTACCTCCCCCCACCTCAAGGAGAGGACACTGGGTCTGGGCTTTGAAGCATCCTTAGGAGTTTCCTCCGGAGGAGGCACTAAAGAATGGCCAGGGCAGAAAGTCGAGCATCTCCAGGGGGCTCCGGTAGAGGCCCCCTCCCACGGTCCCCCGCCCCCGACCCCTTGCTGCCTTCTTCAGCCCACCCTTTGGGCACTGGTCCCTCCCAGGTGACCTTCACCAAGCGCAAGTTTGGGCTGATGAAGAAGGCATACGAGCTGAGTGTGCTGTGCGACTGTGAGATTGCGCTCATCATCTTCAACAGCGCCAACCGCCTGTTCCAGTATGCCAGCACCGACATGGACCGCGTGCTGCTCAAGTACACGGAGTACAGCGAGCCCCACGAGAGCCGCACCAACAGCGACATCCTGCAGGTGGGTGGGTCAGGAATTAGCCCTGAGCCCAGAGCTGGGAATCAGCCCTGAGCACAGAGCCAGGAATCAGCCCTGAGCACAGAGCCGGGAATCAGCCCTGAGTACAGAGCCGGAAATCAGCCCTGTGCACAGAGCTGGGAATCAGCCCTGAGCACAGAACTGGGAATGAGCCCTGAGCACAGAACCAGGAGTCAGCCCTGAGCACAGAGCCGGGAGTCAGTCCTGAGCACTGCTGGTTTGGGCTCCCTGAAACAACAGTGCACAGAGAAGTTGGGCGCTGGCCTCGTGCACGGTCAATCTCTGTGCAAACTCTGAACCCACCAGAAGTGAGCCCCAAGCACCAAGCCCTGAGCAGGCATGGCTTCCATCTCCCCCAGAACATGGTCCCTGTCTCACCCTGCAGACCCTGAAGCGGAGGGGTGTTGGCCTTGAGGGGCCGGACCTGGAGCCTGACGAGGGTCCTGAGGGCCCTGGTGAGAAGCTGCGGAGGTTAGCAGTGGACGGCGGGGACCCAGCCTTGCCCCGGCCCCGGCTCTATGTGAGTGTCCCCCCCGACCATGAGTGTCACCCCCTCCCCACTTCTGCCCTCGGCACAGGATCTAAGAGAGGAAGCTGAGGTCACAGGGCCTGGAGCATGGGGATTGGTTTCCACCAAGATGAAGAGTGTCCAGGTGCCCTGTGGCCAGGGCTTTGAGGGATGCATAAGAGTTCAACAGCTGCTTGTCCCCTCGCCATTTCTTTTGATTTCTCAAACATACAGCAGTGTTGAGCAGCAGTACTCTGCAGGACAAGGCCCAGACAGGTGTCCCGGCAGGGCAGAATCAGGTCCCTGGGAGGTGTGTGGAACCTTCTGGAAGATGGATCCCCATACCTAAACTCAATGGATTTTCTCTTGGACCTGGTGCCCCTCTTTGTTCCTGACCTACAGCCAGCAGCTCCCACTATGCCCAGCCCAGATATGGCTTATGGGGCCCTGCCACCCCCCAGCTGTGACCCCTGTGGGCTTGGTGAAGCCCTGCCAGCCCATGGCCGCCCGTCCCCCTTCCGGCCCACCATCCCCAAAGCAGGGCCTGCAGGTAAGCGAGAACACAGGCCATGGTGGGACACGGAGGGGACCCCTTGGACTAAGCTGCAGTCGACAAAGGGCATCTCCCCCTCTCTCAGGCGTCATCCCCCATCCTCTCTTCTCCCCGGGCCACCTCGCCAGCAAGACACCCCCACCTCTGTACCTCGCGGCTGACGGGCGGAGACAGGACCTGCCTGGAGGCCTGACTGGGGCCAGGGGAGCACTGGGCACCCCGGTGAGTGAGGGACAGCCAAACAGTGTTGATGGGGGCCACCGGGTGGCCTGGGGCTGGCCTCAGTTTCCCCTCTGCCCTCTCTCTCTGCAGAGAGGCCTCTACGGGGGTCTGCAGAGTCCAGGCCCAGCAGCAGTCCCTGGACCCACCCTCGCCACCTTCCCCTTCCTGCCTGCAGGCCCCCCAGGTATGCACCCCCACTCCCACCTGGACACCTCCCTGGGTTCAGGGATCCCTGAGGGTGAGCCCTCAGCTGCCTCCTCCTGCCCCCCAGAATATGGCCTGGATGACCCGCCTCCACCCCCTGGTTTGCTGCAGCCCCACACCCTGACCTCCTGGCAACCCTCCCGAGGAGATGGGCACCCTGCTGTCCCCACCCTGCCCAGGTGAGTGCCGGCGCTGGTTTAACGCACCGTCCCTGAGCTCAGGCCAGTGTAGTGGGGGCACTGCCCAGTTTGTGCCCCAATCCCGGCCCTTTGGGATGGGGTACAAGGTGGGCAGTTGAGGCCGACCCAGGCCCAGATCTCTGCTGCCCCCTGCCGTCCATACTGGAAACTGCACCCCGCCGCCGTGCCGGTTCCTTTCTGGTCGCCGGAGGCTCTATTTGGGGACAGCAGGAGGAAAGCCGCCCCCGCTTTCCCTAGGCTGTCCTCTCTACTGCTTCCTCGCTGAACTCACGCCCCATTCTCCTACTTCTGTCCCACCCCGCAGCGGAGGCCGCGGCCTGGCCGAGGAGGGACCCCCTGCCCGCGGCGCGTCACCCCTCAGTCCGCGGATCAGCATCAAGTCGGAGCGCCTGTCGCCCACCCCCGGGGGCCTCAGAGACTTCCCCAAGACATTCCCCTATCCGCTGCTCCTGGCCCGACCTCCCGCAGAGCCCCTCCGGCCCGGGCCCCCCATGCGCCGGATGCCCACGGCAGACAGCTGGCCGCGGTAGTGGCCAGGCAGAACGTGGGTGCCCATGTCCCTCCCCCCCCCCCGTGTGTGTCGCCCCCAATAAAACTCGCGTGGCACCCGGGACGCAGCTCATTGCCCCCCTCCAGGTCCCTCCCCAGCCTGACCCCCACCTCCCCAGCTGCCTGTCTTGGGGTGGCCCCTGCATCATCTCTGGGACTCTTGGAGGAGGTGGAGGATGGGGGTCCATAGGGTCTGGGGGGTCCTCAATCTAGGTGAGCACTTGGACCAGCTCCACTTTGGGGGTCTGCCATCCTGCAACTCCTCCCCGATGGGGTGGCAATCGCTGGAGGACTGGACTGCTGGTCATCGCCCATGTTCATCCAAGGGGTGACCATGGGGGTCACATACAGAAAAAGGTGGGGCCCATAGACTGAGAAACTGCAAACGGGATGGGACGGAGCAAAGGCCGCAACACAGGTGGCCAATGGGGGGACGTGTCCGGTACTCACTGCATGGGGGCACTGTGAAGCCTGGATTATAAACCTCCTTGTAGGGGATGGGGCACCCTGGAAGGGTAGCACAACCCAGAAAGTGCTGGCCTTGTGTGCTGCAGACCCTGATTTGATCCCTGGTACTCCCTATGGTCTCCTGATCCCACCAGGCATGATCCTTGAACACAGAGCCAGGAGTCAACAGTGAGCACCACTGGGTGTAACCAATAAACCAAAATAAAACCCTATATTAGGGGAGAACCCCGGTGCAATAGACAGTGGGCAGGACACTTGGTCTGCATGCCGCTACTCCGGGACACACCAGAAGTGGTCTCGAGCACAGAGGCAGGTGTCAACCTTGAGCACTGCCAGGTTTGACCCACAACCAAGAAATGAACTGCTGTAAGCCCCCACGCTCCTGGAAGAAGCTGGGGAGGGGGAAGGAGGAGGGTGAGAGGGAAGAAGGGGAGGAGGGGAGGGACTCGAGTGTCTCTGGCTTCAGTGACTCCATCCAAGAACTCCAGACTCATGTCCAATCAGCCGGGTCTGGTGAGGGGCATAGAGGAGTGACCCCTGGCCCAGCTGTTGCTCTGGGGCCCTCTGAGTCAGGCCCCTGCTTTTTCTGGGTTCCCTTTTCCTTAGCCCTCCTGCCCGAACTTCCTTATATCTGACTCCCCTAGTCCCAGAGGCATCTCTGGGCCCCTGGGTGAGCTGCAGGAAGCCCCAGGGACCCTCACCTCTGTGTACTCATACCTTTCAAAGGGACCCTTCTGCAATCCCCTCCATATGTGCTCACACAGACAGAGGAGGCAACCCACACAAGGTACCCCCTCCCTGAAGAGCCTCAAACACTGTCACACTACATGGACACACTTGCCCATCAAAACGCAGATGACTTAAAGGGCAAGCACAGAGGCTTTCCCTCGAAGCTTGGAAACAGAAACGTCAAATTCCTGAGTGTGACGGTTGGTTCTTGATCCAACCATGCCTGAAGTTGACATACCTCCATAACATGTCAGACATGACTACAAAAGTCGTATGTTTTGTGGCCCGCAATTAAAGTCCAGGCTGACACAATGAGGTCTGAGTGCCATCCGACACTGGGAGTCTGGTCTTGAGTAGAATGTTTTTGAAAGGGAGTTGCATGCTCAGTACTCTCCAGCAGGATGTAGAGCATGGACAAAGACAATCGCCACAGGCGTGGAAGGCAGGTGCATGTGAGACTGCTGAGCCCCTGAGTGGCGGCCACACAAGGTCCCTGGCACAGTTAGTGACCAAGCTTGGGCACGTCCCGCGACTCCGAACTACAACATCCAGCATACAATGCAATAGAGCGCCTTCCCTCGTGATTTTCCCAGGCTGATGATTGGTCATCTCTGCTGCTCGTCAGACTAGAGTCTGGCTCTGATTGGTCAAGAGCCCGACAAATTGCCCCGCGCCTCAGGCCCGCGGGTCCGCGTCCTGGCGACATGGTGAGCGCGGGACCCCTGCATTTTGGAGGGTCCGGCGGGACTAGAGTCCCGCCCGGGGTGGAGGTCCAGTGCAGTAAGGCTCCTTTGTGGGCGCCGGGCGCGCTGAGCTCGTGGGGTTGTGCCGCTGGTCGCGTACTCGTCTCTGGGGTCACAGTCTCCCGGCGGGACTCAGGAGGGGTCAGGGGTCGTGGTTCCGTGGAGGGGGCTGGAGTCCCCGCATGGGAGACCGGGGTCCCTGCAGACACCGCTCTGGGGATGGGATTCTTCGGAAGCTCGCGGGTCATGCCACCGGGGTCCTTCGGGGGTCCTCGCTGAATCCGGATGTACGGAGGGATCCGATTCACAAAACTGATCCCCGCACGTGGCCTCCTCTGTACTCACCATCCCATCATGGAGCCCAGCTACGGAGTTTATTCTCCGAACTTAGCCGGGGTCGGGCTGGTGCCAGGCGCTAGCAAGACTCCCAGTCTCCGGTGTGTCTTGTGGGAAGAGGCCTAGCCTCGGGGACCCTTAGGAAGGGGGTTGGGATTGGGTCTGCAGGAACTGCATTGGTGCAGGAGCGGGAGAGATAGCACAGAGGGGAGGGCTCTTGCCTTGTGGGCAGTGCTACTAGGGTTCCATCCCGGGCACCCCCATGGTCCCCCGAGCTTGGCCAGAAATGAGCCCCGCGTGCAGAGCCAAGAAGTAATCCCAGAGCACCACCAGGTGTGACCCAAAATTCACCTCCACCTCCCAAAAAAGTGTGTGTACCCAGCAGGGCCCGCGGATCATGGGGGGTGGGGTGGGGTGGGGAATGGGGCGGGGCGGGGTGGGGTCAGATTTACTGATGCTAGTTAGCAGGAGTCTCCCCCCAAGGCTCCGGGTGCTGGAAGACCCTGGAAAGGTCTGCAGGGCGGCAACCCCAAGATTGGGAGTTTTGTAGCGCGCAGCCCGAGATACAGCTCACAGACCGAGGCTTGGTGGGAGAATGTGAATGCTCCCTCTCCCCGATTCTAACTGCTGGGACCCCATGGTCAGCCCAGCCCCCGGGAGGAGGCTGGGGTGATGGGGTAAAGCGCAGTTGTTTGTGGGGGTGCCTGAGACCCACGTGGCTGGTTGCAATGGGGGAGAGGGACGGCCAAGCTGCCTGATACCAAAGGGGCTGCAGCAGTTTCTGTGAAGATGGCGGCCAGGCTGGCATTTGGGGACTTTGGGGAAGAATCTGCAGGTAGGGGCCAGAGTGATAGTACAGCAGGTAGGGCGTTTACCTTGCACGCAGCCGACCCGGGTTCAATCCCCGGCATCGCATATGGTCCCCCAAGCACTGCCAGGGGTAATTCCTGGGTGCAGAGCCAGGAGGAAGCCCTGAGCATCGCTGGGTGTGACCAAAAGAGGAAAAAAAAAAAAGAGGGAGAAAAGAATCTGCAGGCAGGATGGGGAGCCCAGGCTGGAGGTGTTGCCGTGCTGGGGGCAGCTGTGCCCCTGATTAGAGGGTGGCAGGCTGGGATCCAGGAGAGTCCACAAGGGCAGAGAAGGGCAGGGCACTCCTGGCTGTACTGGGGGCGGGGGATGCTCTGGGGATGGGCACCCCAAGCTCATTACTGCAAAGAATCTTTCTGGTCTCCATTTGCAAGTGCCCAACTGGCCCAGCTGTCCCCGTGGGGTGCTTCGTGTGTGAGCGCCCAGCCCAGATGTCACTCCTAATTCTGAGTGACAGGACCAGCCGGGATTCCTGGGCTCCCCCGGCTTCAGCAGGAATGCCAGGCTGCTTCCATAGCACTTGTCTGTTGAAGCGGGCACACAGCCCCCACCCCTAGCATCTGATTGTCCCCAATGATATGATCCCTGGGAGCCAAACCCCAGAACTGAGTCCAGGCGGGGACCCCCCATCCCCCCAGGCTTCAGCTGCTCAAAGATAGTTCTTCCCAGACACTTACATGTAAAATAGGGGCCAGGGTGATAGGACAGCGGGGAGCATGCTTGCCTCTCACACATCTGACCGAGTTTGAACCCCAGTATTTCATATGGTTCCTCGAGTACCCCCAGGAGTGATCCCTGAGCTCAGAGCCAGAAATAAGCCCTGAGCACCCTGAGTGTGGCCCCAAAACAACACGAAGACATGAGCTATGAGTTTGGCTTTGAAGGGTTAGAATGTGTTGGCAAGGAGGCTCCTGGAGCCCAGAATCTCCCTGGAACAGGAGTGGACAGAAATAGGGGGGGAAGGGGGAGGAGGTGTTTACTCTGGGAGGGGGCAGGGAGTGAGTCACTACCAGGTAATTTAAACCGGAAAGATCCAGAGCGGGAGCCAGGGTGAACTTGGAAATGGGAAAACACGGTTGGCGCAGAGTGGGGCTACCAAAATAGGACGCCCCTATTTGGGCAGAGGCTGGAAGCGGGCGCGGGTCTCTGGGGGCCGGTCGGGTTTGTGCACACCCAGGACGTTTCCCTGGCATGCACCTGTCTCTGAGAGCATATAAATAGCCGGGGGCGAGGGAGGGAGCTCGCGGTCCGCTGGCAGGCACTGCCCGACGTGTTCCCTCTCGTAGGCCGTACTCGGCGTGCAGCTGGTGGTGACCCTGCTCACTGCCACCCTCATGCACCGGCTGGCCCCGCACTGCTCCTTCGCGCGCTGGCTGCTCTGCAACGGCAGGTGGGCCGCGCCCTCCGCGGTGAGAGGAGCTTATCCGCGCCCCGCCCCGTGGGAGGGTCTCCGTACGCCGCGCCACGCCCCTTCCCGCGCATCCCTGAAGCCATCCTTGGCGTTTTGCAGGACCTGATGCACAGATGCGCGCTCCCGTGAGGCCGTCCCCGGCTTACACGCCACCCCCCCACTACTTCCAGCCCAACTTCCCCAACTCTGCCTCTCCCTGCGCGGCCTGAGCCCTTTCTGAGAGTCTGAGAATTCTCTCTAGGAGGCTGTGCGGGACCCCAGGGCAGCCCCAATCTACCCCGGCATCCTTTCCCGCCGGGTGCTCTGACCACCTACTCGGCCTCCCAGCCTCTTCAGATATAAGCACCCGTCCGAGGAAGAGCTGCGGGCGTTGGCCGGGAAGCAGAGACCCAGGGGCCGGCGGGAGCGGTGAGTGATCCCAGCCTCAGGTGGACGGTCGCTGAGGAGGGGGGGGGGTTATCCCAGACGGAGCAGTGGCCGCCTCACTCTGTCGCTGTCTGTCCAGCCAGTGTTTGTTGGAGGTTTGCTCCGTACGGGGTGCAGATGCCCCCGCCCGCTTGTGCTTTCAGGGTGGGAAATGACTGCCGGCTGGCTGCGGTTGGCGGGAACACTGCTATCCCCCTTGCACCCCCGCCCCCGCCAGGTGGGCCAATGGCGTCAGTGAGGAGAAGCCCCTATCGGTGCCCCGAGATACTCCTTTCCAGCTGGAAACCTGCCCGCTCACGGCGGTGGACGCACTCGGTAACCCAGGGAGCCCTCTTCCTGGCGGGTGGGCGGCTCCCGGGTGTGCCCGGGACTAAGGCTCCAGGGGCTGAGAGTTTGTGCGTGGGACCACAGTGCTGCGCTTCTTCCTGGAGTACCAGTGGTTCGTGGACTTCGCCGTGTACTCGGCTGGTGTGTACCTGTTCACCGAGGCCTACTACTGCGTGCGGGGGCCCGACCAGTGAGCCCAACATCGCGGTGCTCTGGTGTCTGCTCAGCGTCGCCTTCTCCCTGTATCCTTGGCGTTCAGGACTGGGGGTGGAGGCTGAGGGTGGGATGTAGGGCCCTAGGGCCCCCATCCTTCCGCAGAGCTGCATGGTGGGCTCAATGCCAGGACGGCCACCCTGTCACACACTATGCACACCCGGTGGCTGTTCTGTGCTGGGGGGGTGGCTGCATGTGCCGGCCTTGGCCTTAGCCTGGCCCAGCAGGGTGTTCCTGACCGTGACCCGGCTGTACTTCAGCGCCGAGGAGGGTGGCGAGCGCTCTGTGTGCCTCACCTTTGCCTTTGTCTTCCTGCTGCTGGCCATGCTGGTCCAGGTGGTGCCCAACACCACCCTGGAGCTGGGCCTGGAGCCAGGTAGGCCGGGGAGCTGCCCCTACATGCCCCGGGGACCATATGGGGTACCAGGATGGAACCTGAGTCCGCCCGCCCCCACACTATCTGCTCTCCCCTCTCCCCCACCCTCCCCCCGCAGGTCTTTGCTTGGGGTCTGTAGGGCTGGTTCGCTGCTCTCCCTCCAGATTTCTGGTATAAATGGGAAGCCCAGGCTCAGCAAACTCTCCCTTAGCCTTGGTCCAGTGGAGGGTGGCCAGGAATTCCGGGCTGAGCCGAATAGCCCCAGGTTGCGGGTGGGGGGGATGCCCACTGGCCAGGGGTGCTCCACACCACCCCCTCCTGGTCCTCCTCAGGCATGGCCAGCATGACCAGGAACTTGGAGCCGCTCCTGAAACCCCAGGGCTGGGACTGGGCGTGAGTCCAGGGCGCCTTGGGGGTAGGGGGCGGGGTTCATCCTGCAGATTGCCCAGCAGCGCCAGGCAACTCTGACCTCCCTCTCCTCCCCAGGTTGCCGGTGGCCAAGCTGGCCATCCACGTGGGGCTGGCCGTGTTGGGTTCCATGCTGGGCGCTTTCCTCACCTTCCCCGGGCTGCGGCTGGCCCAGACCCACCGGGATGCGCTGGCTAGGGCAGAGGACCGGCCGCTGCTGCAGTTACGTGGGCGTGCGGGTCGTGCGGGAGAGTATGGGGCGTGGGGGCGCTGGCGTGGGTGACCCCTCACAGTTCTCCTTCGGTCCCCCCCCCAGGCTGTTCTTGCATCTGAGCTTTCTGTCCCCCCTGTTCATCCTGTGGCTCTGGACCAAGCCCATCGCGCGGGACCTCCTGTACCAGGCGCCTCTAGGCGGAGCCACCATCTCCCTGTGCGTCTGGGATGGGCGGTGGGCCCCAGGTCTTGGGTGGTGCAGGGAGGAGCCTGGGGCGGGGATGGGGGGAAGCTCTCAGGGAGACGCGTCGCTAGTCCTCCTGTCCCCTGGGCACAGACTGTCAGACTCGGCCTTCGACTCGCTGCGCCTCTGGGTGCTGGTGACGCTGTGCCTGCTGCGGCTGATGGTGACCCGGCCGCACCTGCAGGCCTACCTCTGCCTGGCTAAGGCCCGCGTGGAGCAGCTGCGGCGGGAGGCTGGCCGCATTGAGGCGCGGGAGGTGCAGCGGCGGGTATGGGCACGACACGAGGGGGCCACCGGGGCGGGGCGGGGCGGGGTGCCCGCCTGAGGGTCTCCGCTTTAGCTACCGCTACATGCCCACCAGGTGGTGCGTGTCTACTGCTACGTGACGGTGGTAAGTCTGCAGTACCTGACGCCGCTCATCCTCACTCTCAACTGCACACTGCTGCTGAAGACACTGGGTGAGCACAAGGCGCCACCGGAAGGCGGGGCCTGATATGGGGTGGGGTTGGCTAGGTGGGCGGGGCTAGTTTCACAGACGGGTCCTGATAGGGTGCTGAGAGGGGTGGGGGTGGGGCTTGGGCGGGCGGGCGGGGCCTGATAGAGTGCCGAGAGGTGATAGGCTATGAAGCAGGGACATTGGGTGGATGCAGGGGCCAGGTGGTGAGGCCTCCTAGACCAAAATGAGAGGTAGGAAATTGGGGAAAAGGTGGGGATGCCAGAGACCAAGTGGATGTATCCCTCAGGGTTGGACTCTGGGTCCTGGTGTGAACCGAGTTCTCCCTCCTCCCTCTCCTCATAGGTGGCTACTCCTGGGGCCTGGGGCCCGCCTCCTCGGCATCCCCAGTCTTGTCCTCATTGGGCAATGAACAGCTGGACCCCGTGGGGGACGAGATCCAGCAGACAGCGGACCGCATCGCCGGGGCCCTGGGCGGGCTCTTCACGCCGCTCTTGCTGCGCAGTGTGCTGGCTTTTGTGGTCTGGTGGACCGCTGCCTGCCAGTTGCTCTGCAGCCTCTCCGGCCTGTACCTGCAGCAGCACCTGGCTAGCTGCTAGCAGACTCTGTCAGGGACCTCTCAGAGAGGTCGCATGTGCCTTGGTGTCCCCAGGGCAGGAGGGATGGAGTGCTCTACCCAGCAGTGCCTGAGCCACAGTCAGGGGCCCCAGAAAGGTCTGGACAAGCTCCTCTGGGTTCAGGGCCTCCAGGGCATGCTCTCAGGGCTGCTGTGCCAGTAGAGGTGAGGTTGCTCTTCTGATCAATAAAGGCACGGCTGGTGCTTTTTACAGAGGGGACTGAGCCATTTCCAGAGTTGAGCCATGTTCTCTCCCTGGGCTGGAGGGCATCCCAGGATGCCAGTGGGATTCCTATATGGACACTGCCACCCCCATGCTGGTGGGATTCCTGTATGGATACTGCCTCCCGCCCTCCCCCCACCTGCAGCGTCAGCTACACCTCCCAATATATCCCTTAACCTTTACCAGCAATTTCCATTCTGGAAATCATACCACAAGCTTAGTGGCACATGACCCAGCGAGGCACAAACAAAATTGTTTTAGAAAGGGCAGGAAACTCAAGTCTGTCTCAGAGACCATTAAGTGATTTATGTTGGGCTTCAGGTAAAGCTTGATCCAGCAAGCCCAGCCAGTGTTACCAAGACTCCTGCCTTTGGCCTTACCTCTGCTCTACCAAGCTTGTCCCTGGGACTGGTTCCTGCAACAGTGCCCATCTAACTTCACAAATGTATCCAGAAACCTGTCAAGAAACTTTAACCTGGTTTGGAAGTCACAGTGAGGCAGGTGGGACTGGGGTCAGCCCTGAAGGGACATGAACATGAGAAGTCATTTTACTTTTTATTAAATATATTCTCTTGGCACAAATCTTTAAAATATATAAACATTATATATAAACAAAGTGTCTTCATGGCATCAAAATGTAACTCCAGACCAGGAGAGCAGCAGGTGGGAAAGAGGGGGCAGGTCAGGGCCTGCAAAGCATGGAGGGGGCTACCCAGGGCCCCCAGCTGGCAGCTGCTGGGAGGCACATGGGGACAGCAGGATGGGACCCTTCAGCCCAGTGTCCATTTGGTCTGACCGCTTGGGGGGGCACCAGGACCCCTCTGTCATCTCTTGCCACGGCACTTGTGTGCCCATCCCATGTCTTCTGGTGGGCTTGGTACTGGGCAAGGCTGGGGAGGGACAGGAATGGGATCCCCACAGATTAGACCCCACCTGCTGCCTAGGACTTCTGGGCCTGAGAGGGGCTGGCCAGTGGGAAAGGACGGGCAGAAGTTGGGGAGTGCTGGGACAGGGCTGGCCGGACCTAGGAACACAGGCTGGCAGAAAGGTGATTTGGGTACCACTGACTGGCCGACATGGGGTAACGGGAGGGGAGGGCAACTTCTAAGTTGTTTATGTGGCTGGCTCCCGGGGGACACTCTAGAATACCGTGACTTCCAGGCTCCCTGCCTTGCCACAGACCCTGTTTTAGGGACCCCCAGTGTGGGAGGGTCTGAACCTCTGCCGGATGAGGCCCCGTCCACGGAAATCAAACCAGCCTGCAGGTCTGAAGGACCCTGGGGGGCACATTCAGGGTCTCCCAGATCAATTCCCCCCACCACAGAGGCCCAGCTGCGTGCAGGGGGGCAGAAAGCAACGGGGCATCGACAGCAGGAGGGCTCTGTGTGTGTGTGTGTGTGGGGGCACTCATCCTGGACAGCACTGTGGGGACGTGCAGGTCCAGGTGTGGAGGCAGGGGCTGACCTGGGGTCAGGACAAGTAGGACAGGGCACTGGGTGAGAAGTTGCTTGCGGGGCCACAGATGTGTAGGCAGGGGCCCATCTTCTCTGCCAAGTGGGGCTAGAGACCACTCTCACGGCCAGGCCCCAAAAACCAGGTCCCTGCACCACCATGGCACCCCTCGGGACTTTTAGACCATCACTTCCTCTGGGAGGATGAGCAGAGTGCCTGCGGGACCTGAGCCCCCAGTTTCAACATTGCACTTTGGGGTCTGGCTATCCCCTGGAGACTTGGGGGGGCTAGTCTAGGTTCCCCTGCTGTGAGACTGCTAGGGGCAGAAGCAGGAGCGCCTAGCCCAGAGGTGACTCTGCAAAAACTGGGGGGCAGTACCCTAGCTCTGCAGATGCCGCAGCAAAATCTGCATGAGGTCGAAGGTGGTGAAGCTGATGCCCACGGCGATGGGGCCCTTGAGCCAGTTCATGCTGAGGCCCTTGTACAGGCCACGCACCAATCCTTCCTCCCGCACGATGCTGAGCAGCGTTCCCACGATGGACATGCGTGGGTGTCCCGTCACACCAGCTGTCTGCATGCGCCGCCGCACCACGTCCAGTGGGTACGAGGCCGACTGGCCGATGATTCCCGCGCATGCGCCGAAGATCATGCGCTCAAACGGGTAGGGCTGCCGGTGACCACTGTACTCTGTAGGGTGGCGGGGACCGGCCATGAGGGGTCCAGCAGTGCACCCTGCACCCCGCCAACCACATTCCAGCCCCAAAACGTGCCCCCACGCTACACAGTCCACCCCGCTCCCAAAACATACCCCAAGTGCACCTTACCCATAGGACCCAGGCACCCAGCCCGCATCCCCGCATACCCTGCGGCAGGAAGGACAGATTGCACCCCGGCATAATTCTACTTTCCTCATGGCTCCAACTTGTGGGGACATGACACACACCCACGGTGGCGGTGGTCTTGGCGCCAGGATCCACGAATCCCACAAGGCGCTCTCACCTCGGTGCAGACTCTTGAGGGTTTCATAGGTGAAGAAGCTCAGGCCGGCGTAGGGGATGACGCCCAGCACGGTGGGCGTGAAGCCATGGTAGAGCGTCCGCAGCCCCTCTTCTCGCGAGATGCGGATGAACACGTGGAAGATGTTGCTGTACCTGTGGCAGATAGGGGGGCTCCCTGGAGGGGCTGCCGCTGCCCTCCCTCTTGCCAGCAGACCCTCGAGGCCCAAGTGGGCCTGCCGCCCTGGCGCCCCAGCCCCCTGCAAGACTCACATCTCCTTGGGGGTGACGGCCATCCGCGCTCTGACCAGGTCCAGCGGGTAGGTGAGTGAGGTGGCTGTGGTCCCAGCCAGGGCGCCCGCCAGGAGACGCGGCCACGGGGGCAGGGCTCTGGGAAGAGGGAGAGGTGAGATCCCTGCTCCAAGGAGGGAGGAGGGAGACTGGCGGGGTGCGGGGCATCCCTCAGCAGAGACTGTGGGCCGGGGCAGCTAGGAAGGGACTTTCCACGCTGATGAGTTTCGGGATCCCCCGCCTGGTGCGAATTCTTGAGAGACGTGCGCCTGCCCAGTGGACTCCGGCACAGTCTGGGAGGCAGGTTAGGGGTGGGCAGTGAGTGGGTGGAGAGGAGGGCCTGGGGGCGGGGTCTGAAGGCAGAGCTGTCCTGGGAGGGGAGCTGAGCTGGATGGAGGAGTGGTGCTAAGTGGGTCTGGGATGGGGCTTCCCAGGGTCCAGACCCAGGAGGACCCGTGGGCGGGGCTTTGCTGCAGCGGGCGGGTTGTCCCCAGGGTCCGGAGTCCGAGAGCCAGGGCTTTGCAACCAGCAGGGGTGTTCCCAGAGTCTGGGGCGGGACGTTCCCAGGGAGGGCCCAGGACAGGTATTCCTAGGTCTGGGGCGGGGCTTTCCGCGAGGCAGGGCGTTCCCAGGGGCGGGGCTTTGCGGGCAGGGGGGAGGGGCAGGACTGGGCGTTCCCAGGGTTGGGTCGGGGCAGGGCTTGGAGGCGGAGGGGGCGGGGCGTTCCCAGGGAGGACCGGGGGCGGGGCTCACTCTCCGCGGAAGCCGTAGTAGTGGCCCAGGATGCGCTTGTACTCCTCGTGCGCGCTGAACTGGATGGCGGCATAGGGCACCACGCGCACCATGGTGGCGGAGTTCCCGCGCCACAGACTAAGGAAGCCCTCGTTGAGGTAGGTGAGGTACAGGAGCCGGAGAGCTTCCTGTGAGGGCAAGGGCAAGGCTGCCTGGAGGGGTGCTACGGGCCCACACGGCCTCCCCTGCGGGCGCCCACCCTGGCCCGCCTCCGCATTCCAGTGGTGGAGCGAGCTCCGCCCCGTCTCCAACAAGGTAAATAGGTAAAGGACAGCTAGTGCTTGTCCCAGGAACTGAGGCTCAGGTCCACTGGGGGCGGGGCGTGCCCTGGCAGAGCCGGGGTGCTCTGCGGAGGGGAACCCGGCCTGTAAGACCATCTGGAAAGGCCCTCCCCGCGCCCCCTGCAGAGGGGTTCTTACCCTGGCAGAAAATCTTTTTGAAGACACTGCAAAACAAACACAGCCCGAGTCAGGGCAGGCACCACACTCCCAGTGAGGGCATCTCTGAGTGTGGGGCTCAGAATACCTGGGACTCAGGGAACCACTCAGCACTCCCTCCAGGCAGGACCCCGGCTCATTCCAGTTCACCGGGGATTCAGCAAGGGGGCTGCACTCCCGCAGACCAGGCATGTCTGCACCCCTCCCGTGGCCCTGACTTGTTCCCAGGTGCACCCTCTGAGCCCAGGTCAGGGGTCCCAGAGTCCCTTGAAGTCACCCCTCTGTTGATTTCCCAGGATGCTGTGAGGCCTGCATCAGTGAGGATGGCTTTCCAGGGAAACTGAGGCAGAGAGGTGTGAGGGGCCTGTTGGGGTGACGGGAAGCCTGCTTACTTTGCAGTCTCGGGCCCCAGACAGCTGGGGTAAGGGTACAGAGAAAGGCGGGAGCAGATGGTTCCCATACCGTGGGTGCAGACGGGGGGCCCACAGCCAGCCAGGAGCATCCTCTCAAGCTTGGGAGACTGCCGGTGGGCAGGGGGCCCCAGAAGGAACCCAGCCTGGAGTCACCTGGTCTGAGTGTCTGCGCTCAAAGCCTCTTGGCAGTGGCTCCGGGCACAGTGGGCATGAGGTTGGCAGGTGGGCGAGGGGAGGTACCTTGGAAGATGATTTTGGTTCGGTCCAGGGGGGCTACTGCGGTCTTGGCCAGAGCCCCGGCCAGTGCGCCAGACAGCAGGGAGCTGAGGACCTGCCGATGGTCCCTCTGGAAGGAAATGGGGGGCAGGAGGCTGCAACCTCAGAGATCCTGGGGACAATGGCCCCAGCTCTGGCAGCTCGCCGGGACCAGTCATCCAGCCTGGCTGCCACCCGGCGTGGAATTCAGGGAAAGGTCGGGGTGGCATGGAGGATGAGCAGGCCGCGCCCTTTGACCCCGGACTGGTGAACCATCTGGGGGTGCCTGAGTGGTCCCAAGAAGTGGCTCAGTGTGGGCCCCAGGAGCTGCTGGGGTTGATGGCGATGGATGGGGCGGAGGTAGGGACCAGAGCGCCCCCAGCGCCCCACACCGCTGGGCTCAGAAATCCTTGACAGCCTGCTGGGGGGGGGTCAGGTGTAGGATTTAGGCTGCAGTGGGCGTGGTGGGGTGGGGAGGTGTGGGTGGGGAGTTGGATCTTCCCCATGGCTCCCCCGATCTCCCTTCCCCCGTGAGTGAGGGGCCCCGGCCGAGCCCCCCCCCACCCCCGTACTTGCCTGTGCAGCTGCGCCCACATCCTCTGCTCCACTACCCATCCCAGGCGCGGGATGGTGCGGGGCTCCGTCCTAGGGGAGAGGGCAGTGAGCAGAAGGGCCCCTGGCCAGCGCCACTGTCAGCGGGCCTGTGACTCAGCCGCGGGGGCCCCCACACGGGGCCTGGACGCTAGTGAGCGACAGTGGGTTAATCATTGACCAGCAGCCTCCAAGCCCCAGCGCCGCTGCTCCTCCCTGCATCCCGGTCTGGAGGCAGAGCGGTTCAGAGAGGGGAAGCAGCCCCGGGAGATCACACAGCAGAAGGTGGGTGCTCACTGCTCACAGGCCATATGTCTGCCCCAGCCTCTTCCCAGGAAGAAGCTTCTAGAAAAGGAATCCCTTGCCGCGGGTCATCCCCTGAGAAGCCACAGTCTCCCTCCAGCCCAGCACACTGTAGTGGTGATGGGGAGCAGGAAGAGAAATAACCAGGGCTGGGTGATGAGGTGTCACCCCGCCGTCCCCAAGCTTTGGGACGAACCCAGAGGGCTTAAGCTCTGGCTTTGAGGTTTCACCCCTGGCACTGTAGGGTCACCTTGTCCCTCAGCAGGACTAAGAAGAGCTTCCTAACCCCCCAACATCACTGAGAGGGACCTCTAAGCCACTGAAAAGGGGAGGGGGAAGCCACAATTGCGGGAATAACTTCACAGGTGGTCCCCAGAGAGGGCGGTCAGGATGCCCTGGGAAACTTCGGCCACGGGGACGGGGGCCCGCACCCCCTTCCCACTTCCAGCCCCATCTTACTGACCGTTCGTGGCCCCACTAGACGGGAGCCTCTGAGACTGTTGTGGGGGGGGCGGTTCTATACCCAGGCCTCAGGGTCAGCCCTGTTTGCCTTCCTAGACCCTCTGTCCTGTACTCAGCCCCCACCATGGGTGGCAGAGGGCCCCCTTCACCCAGGACTTGGCCAGGGGGCAGCATCTCCGATGGGTGGAGAACCAGGGCCCAGCACTGAGGGGGCAACCCTCTGGGCAAAGGTGGGCAGCACTGTCCCCATTCAGTGCTTGCGTTGGCAGGAGGGGGGCGTGGATGGATGGAGGTTCCCGCGATCAGTAGGGAAGCGGAAGCGGGCTGGCCCGTCTGCCCACTGGTATTGGCTGTTTCCCCGCTCATGGGAATTCACTCTGCCCCCCCCCAGGGGCAGCCAGTCCGTTAACCCACCGGGTGATCTGGGCGCGGGGCCATGTGGGCCCGGCCTTGGGCAGCAGTCTGTAGGGCCAGATCCGCCTCTTGTCTGCCAGCGCCCCATCGCCGCAGAGGTGCCGGAGAGGGGGTGCACACATCCCCCAAAGTCCTGTGCCCTCCCCTATGGCCTGGCAGGCACTTGTGCCCTGGTGTAGGAACAGCTGTCCTGAGAAGAGAAACTCGGGGACCCAGGCTGAGTGCAGGGCGACTGGGACACATGCCCAGAGCTTCTAGAGGGGAGTCCAAGGTCAGAGGGTCAGCAGATAGCGCCCACAGCCTGTCCACGGATGGACCCTGGCCCCCTGTCCTCAAGATGGGGTCTCCTTCATTCATGGGGCCATCCTGACACCATCCCATTGGGGGACAAGTTTCAGGCACCAGCCCCCAGCCCTCTCCCCACTGGCCTGTCCAGCAACAGTAAGTTAGGCATGGGGGTCACGCAGGGGTGTGTGCTCCCGGGGAAGGAACCTGAGGGGCACATTTTAAAAGAGCAGTGGCCGGAAAGACAGCACAGGGGAAGGCCCTGCATAGACCCCAGAGCCCTGACAGGAGCGCTGCAGGGCTCCAATTCCCGCCCCCTCCCCCAATAATACCTGTCACGAGACCAGAGAGACAGTACAGTTGTTTGTGTGTTTTGTTTTGTTTATCTTTCACACTTGGCAGTGCTAAGAGGTTACTCTTGGCTCTGCACTTAAGAATTACTCTTGGTGGTGGTCGAGAGGCCAAATGGGATGCTGAGGCTGGAACCTGGGCCAGCTGGGTGCAAGGCAAGCGCCCTACCCACTGTGCTATTATTGCTTTGGCCCCAGTACGGGCGTTAAGGCATTTCCCTTGCACACGGCCCATCTGGATTCCATTCTCAGCACCCCAAAGGATCTATTGAGTTCTGCCAGGAGTGATCCTTGAGCACTGCCAGTTGTAGCCCTAAATCCAGAACCCCCCCAAATAAAAAATACACAGTTTTGGTCATGTCAGTCTCCCCAAGGTCTGATCTACAGAGGATACCCCAACTGCACAGCTGCAGCTGCATCCCGGTGGACCCTCTGCACCCACCTACCATCCCATCTTTTGCTGGATCCAAATGAAAAACAAAACAAATGGCTCTTGGGAGGGGGCGGCGCACCACCAATCTCTGGAGCAGGGCGCGGGTTTTGGGGTGTGGGTACCGCCTACTCTCACAAATCCAGCACCCCCACCCCCGCCCCTGCCCCCCAGGTCTGGCTCAGAGCCGGAGTGTTTCCTGGACTGAACTTGCTCAGGCTGACACACGGGCAAGAAGCAAAGTCTAAGGGTTAGTCACGACACAGCCACAGGGGAGGGAGCCGGGAGTGGCCGCCTGCTCCCTCCGGGAGGGGACAGTGTGCCCCATTCTGCACACAGCTCTGCCTTCCTGGGAGTGACACGACAGGGCCCAGTTCAATGTCACCTCCTGGGGAGGGCGTGGCGCCAGGGGTTCAAGGCGGGGAGACCACCGCCAAGGAGGAATAGGTCCAGTCACAGGAGCGGGGGCTGGAGGGACCGTGCGGGTTTGCAGCGTTTGGTGTCTGCCGTTTGGTGTCTGCCGCACGCACGTGGCTCCTGCCGTGCGCGTGCACGCAGCGCCGACCGCACTGAGCACCGAGCACCGAGCACCGGCTACCCGGACGGAGCTGGAGGCGACAGGAGCCTCTGGACCGTTCCCGTCCGGGCTGGGCGGCGGGACGGACGCGCCGCTGCAGAAAGGCGCCCGCGGAGCTGCTCGCAGCGACCCCGACGGCCTCGGAGCACACGCCAGGGAACTTGAGAAGCGCCCAGAAGCCACGCACCAGCCGGAGCCCGGGGTCAGCAGGGGCGCGCGGGTCTGCCAGAGCCTCGGGACCATCGATCGTCCCTTCCAGCCTTGCCTCCTGGGAGCCACTCTTGATTCCGCAGGGCCCCCACCCCCTTCCCCTGACCCCAGCACAGACCAAGACGGGCGAGGGTCTGAACTCCCCCTATAGGGCTGAGCCTTTTGGGGTCAGAAACTAAAGGGGGCGCTTAGCGTGCAGCGATCCTGAGATGGGGGCGCTGGCAGGGCGGGAATAAATGCAGGTACATAGGAAGAAGGTGGGGTGGGCTGTGACCCCGTCGTCCAAGGGCAGGGACCAGTGAGAGGGCAGGAGCAGGGGTCGGGGGTGATACGGGGGTGTCTAGAATGACGACGGGGGCCCAGGAGTGAGTGTGCGTGGATAGGGGCCGTGTCAGGGCTGTGTTGGGTGTCAGGCGTGATGTGCACGGGGGAGGGGGACCGGTGTCTGTACTGTGCGGGTGTGTACGGGCAGGCGACGGCTCTGCTCATACGGGGGTGTGCATGGAAGTGGTCCGGGTGACGTCGGGGGGTGGGGGCATCTCTGGAAGTGCTGCGGCGACGGGCGGGGGCCATCAGCTCGCGGGGCAGGTCCGGGCGTGAGGAGCGAGGCGAGGACCTCGGATCCGGCCTGGGGGGGTCCCCTGACGCGTGAGGTGGGGCTTTGCCCTCTCTCGGCCCCTGCGAGGCCGCTGTCATGCCCGTCTCTCCCACCTCCCTCCGGGGATCTTGACCGGCCCGCAACTCCGGCGCCCTGTGACCACGGCTCCCTAGCGCCCCGTGACCCCCGACCTCTCACCGGCCAGGACGCGCCGCCGCTGCCGCTACCGCCGCCGCCGCCGCCGCCACCACCAAGCCCCGCCTCGCGCACCCCCAGCTCGCTCCACGGGAGGGGCCTCGCCGCGCTGCGATTCGCTGCGCGCCAGCCATTCATTGCGGGAGCCGCTAGGGATTCGCCTGCTGGGAGCTGACGGGCATCTCTTACAGCCAATCGCCGAGGGCATGGGCGGGGCTCGGGAGAAGCCCTCGGTGCAGGAGTCGAACTCGCTGGGTGTGAGGCGCTGGGAGGGGACAACCGGGAGGGAGGCGGAGATTGGAGCCTTGAAGGTAGAGGGGCAGCCCCACCGACCAATCGCTGAGGAGCGGGGGTGGGGCTCCAAGGAACTGGCGCGACAGGCGCGTGGAGGGGGAGCGGAGGGCGTAGCCCGGAGGCCGGCGGAGATTGGTCACGAAGCTGAAGACGAGCAGGCGCTGCGGCCACTTGCAGGGTCGGGGGCGGTGTGAGCGGAGAGTGCAAGGTGCTGTCTGGCTACTGCCGGAGGTGGCCTGGGATGCCCCGCGCTGCGTCCCCACTGCGCTGCGAACCTGATGCCAAGCGTCCGTCCCTCCGGCCACCCATTTCGGACGAAGCGAGGAGGGTGTGTGGGCGGGCAGACTGGCTGGCGGTCACCCGGACTGCCCCCTGCTTCTACAAGTTTGACCCATACTCCTCCAAGTTTGCCCTCTGCTCCTAGGGACCCAGTGACGTTGCCCCTCCCCGCGGAGACTTTCGCAAGTGAACTGCATCCCAACCACAGTTCTACCAGGTCATGGCGGTCCGTTCAACAGAATCTAGAGCATAGAGAGGCCAGGCTCCTTGCCTAATATCACACAGCACCTCCGAAGTCCAGTGGGGGCGTGACTTAAAGGAGCTGTTCTTTGGTAGACGAGTAAAGCGGTATCAGAGAACAGCCACGGGGGACCAGAGTAACCGGAGTCCCAGTGCATGTCCCGTGCCCCATTGTCCCTACACACCACTTAGGGCAAGGAGCTGGTATTCCTGCCCTCCCCCACCCCACCCCCGCTCAGGTCAGGGTTCCAGGGTTCCGTCACCTTCTTCTCCGGGGTCCACATCCCAGCCCTGTCCACACCTGTCGGAGAAGGTGGAGTCTTCTCCCGGCCTGGGACAGTGCCGACTTTCTCCCACTCCCATCTGACTCACTGCCTCAGGCTCCAGCTGGGTGAGGACTGACCGGGGCACCTGATTCTAGAACCAACCAGCTCTCAAGTTCAGAACCAGGCCGAGGAGGCTCAGATTTCGGGCCCCACACATCCCTCTGCTCAGTCTGTGGGATTCTGTTGGGCTGCTGCCAAGCCTGCCGGGTCTCCTGCCGGCGCGAGTGTTGGGGTTCAGGTGTGTCCCTGTGCTCTCTGCCGGGGTGGTGGACGCACTCGGGGAATGAGCGCAGGTGACACACTTACAGCCGTGTTGGTCCGCAGCAGGCACCCTCCGGCTCAACCACTGCAGGCCTCTGGTCCCCTCTGCAAACAGGGCTTCATGGAATGTGGCTCCAGACCAGCTGTGGGTGTGGCCAGGCCACCCGAGAGGGAGATATTTATCCTGCCAGAGTCCCCACCCACAGCACCACCTGCCAGGCTCCGGAGGGGGCTGCGTGCTCCCGGAAGGTCCCAGGGTACCACAAGCGTCACTGCCAACTGAGGCAAGGGTCAGGCAATCGCCCAGCTCTGCAGGCCTTGGCGGGGCTAGAGGCGCTGGCAGAGGCAGGAGGTGCTCCTTGGTGTCAGCGGAGATACCCCAACTCTGCAGCACCATGGGACCCCGTTCCCCGGCTTTCCTGAGCCACCTGTCTGTACTAGGACACTGCCTGTCTGACCCTCCATTTCCTCAGCCTCTTGGGGATCCCATCCGATGGCCAGCAGCCAACCCGGGCACTGTGTCCACAAACCGTTGGCACACCCTCTCCTGCCCGAGGTCGTGCTAGTACTGGTGGCGGCAGAGGGGCCTTGAAGTGGACAAGCCGGGTCCTAACCCTCATGGTGGGCTCTCGGTGCCTAGAGGACTGGCTCACACCTGAACAGTGGGACTCATGGGCAGCCTGGATGCCGGCCCTTCCTGGCTGGAGGGCACACCGCCACCCAAACAGGATGCTGGAGGCTCAGAGACTGCTCCTTGGTCAGTGGGCCCACCTCAGCAGAGCCCCCTCCCCCTGTCTGTAACAGGAAAGGTGGGGGCACTGGCAGCCTTGGGGAAAGGGTCTTCAGAGGGCCCCAGTCACCGAGGAGGCCACTTGCTCAGGCTCAGGTGGGGAGTGCTGATAAGCTGGAGCGTCAGCCCTGAGGTGCAGCTGCAGGAAGGCTGGCAGCGGGCCAGGACTCCATTCCAGAGCCACCCTGTACCCCAACTGCTTTGTTTCTGGGGGTGTTCCGAGCCCCCTGGGGCATGCCCAGTGCAGGATCTGCAAGCAGGAGGGCCCCCCGTTTGCTCTTCGGCACCACATGCTCTCCCAGGCACCACCATCTTGGCCCCCAGACAAGCACAAAGCCTTTTGGGGGGGGGCCCATGTTGGGGCAGTCACCCCCCCACACACACACCCCATAGTGATGGGATGGCAACTCTCTGGCAGCCAGACTGGGTCTGATGGTAGAATGGAGGAGCTGAAGTGAGAAGCCCTCCAAGGTCACAGACATGGAGCCCGTTGTCCAGGTTGGGTGCTAGGAGTGGGAATTAAGGTTGGGTGACTGGGTCAGAGGCTGGTTGGATGGCAACACCATCTCCCTGGGGAGGAGGATCAGTGTGCTGACCTCATAGGCCACCGTGGCTGTGCCTGAACCAACCCTAACCTACAGAGTGAAACTGGAACCCCAGAGACACTAGGAGCAAGGGCCTATGGGGTAGAGGGAGTGCCAGGTAGCCACAGGCTCTGGGAAGCAGGAATTGCCCAGACCCCCAGGGCACAGCCCACTGGCATCCCAGCTGACCCCCCCCCCCAAGTACAGGGAAGACACCCCTCCAGCATTCATTTGCTTTTAGCTTTTATTTCCACCCCCACCAGGCCACCCCGAGCCTCTGGGTGCAGTGCAGAGGCAGTGGGGCCCAGGGGCTGCACCCCTCACACTCCTGCCAGCCCACCAGGAGTCACAGAGCGCCCCCTGGAACCACGTGGGCAGGAGTCACAGCTCCAACTGACCCTTCTCCCCAGTCCACAGCTCAAGCAGCTCTACGTGGCAGCCCAGGTCCCGCAGGGCGGCCTTGGCCGCATCCTCGCAGTCCGGGTGCGCGGCGCTGGCCTGCGTGATGAGCTCCTCCACGCCCAGCTCCAGGATCGGCTTCGCCAGGGTTGGGCTGCGGGACATCACGTTGCGGATCAGCACGCAGGCCTGTTTCTGCGGAGACAGGCCCAGGGCTGTGGAGGGGCGCTTCCCCCCCCCCCCCCCCCCCCCCCCCCGCAAGGGCTAGTGGGCGGGGTTCGGAACCTCCTCCAGCCCCACCCCTCCCCTCCCCGTGGGCGGGGTCGGGAAACTCCTCCAGCTCCACCTCTCCTCGTGGGAGGAGTAGAGAACCTCCTCCCGCCCACCCCCTTCCTCCTGGGGTGCGGTGGGTGAGGCTTTGATGAGGCAGAGGCCTCACCTGTACACCAGCGTCCTGTGGATGGGCCTTCATGGCCTGCACGGCCGCCTGGATGCCGCCACACTCCATGATGACCTGGCAGTGCTCTGGCCTGCGCAGGGCCAGCACGCTCAGAGCAGCACAGCTCCGCTCACATACCTGGGGAGCACCGGGGACTGAGACTGGGCCACGCCAACCCCACCTTCCCCTCCCCCAGCAGGGGTGTGTTCCTATGGGTACCTGGGGGGAGGCGAGGTGGCGTGTCATGGCGGCCACGATGGACTCAATCCCCCCAGCGCGCACGATGGTGTCCTTCACGGCATCGTTGCATGCCATGGCACGCAGCACATTCAACACCTGCCGCACCAGGTCCTGCGCAGATGGGGGTTACCAGGTAGCCCTTGTTGGGGCCAGATGTGGGCATGTCTGTTCACAAAGAGAGCTGTTGTGGGGCTGGATAACCACTGCGGGTTCCACTCTGGAAAACCAAGTTGGGCTGCACTGAAGGGGGGCAGGTGAGGGCTGGAGCCACCAAAGGCCAGTTCCCGGGTACTGCAAGACCACGAAGCATGGCCTGGAGGTCTGGGGGACAGCTGGCTGAGCACCACCACCAAGAGGGTGCCAGGCTTCAGCCATCGGAACCCAGGCCGGGCAAATGAGTTCATTCCAGACACAGGATAGTGGCCGAGGCTAGCCATCAAGAACATGGTGGGGTGGGGGGGGGGTGTTTCCAGCTGAAACCCCCGGCTGGCATCTGATACTTTTCCTAACTGGAGTACCCGAAAAGGAGGCGTGGGGCTCTGCCTGGACACTTACCTGGTGATCACCACAGGTAGCCAGCAGGGTCTCCAGCAGATTGAGACCCCCCAGATCTACCACCTCCTGGCAGTAATTGTTGCGAACGGTCAGGTGCGCCAGGGTGCCACAGAGCTTGCTCAGGAGGTCCAGGTTGTTGGGGAAGGCTGGAGGGAGAAGGAGGCGCTGGGGGAAGGAGCCTGTCTCCAAACCCGCAGGACCCATCCCTCCTCTGGGGCTGCAGTGCCCCCTGGTGGCACCAGTGCCAGGGAGGGACTCATTCTTCTGGCACCCTGTTTCCTGAAGTGGCCAGAGCTATCCACTCCCCTTGCAAGAGTGCTGGATGCCAGCAGGATCTGTAACCTCACAGCAATGGTGGGGCCCCTTCATTTCATATATACACTTGGTTTGGGGCAAATCCGGAGGTGCTTGGGGCTTACTCCTGGCCCTGCACTCAGGGGTCACTTGGTGGCGGGCAGTTGCTTTCATTTTTCCCCGTGAAAGGGGGACAGTAGGTCAAACAAGTTTGGAAACCTCAGTTCTAGTACCTTCTATGCACCCTGCAGGTGGGTCAGGGACTCTGGGCTCTGGGCCTGTACAGCAGCTGTGGGACCACCCAGCGTTGATGGCCCCTGCACCCCCCTTCCTTGCCCACCTTGCAGGGCGTGGACCAGCACCTTCAGGCCCGCGTGCTCCTCCACGATCTTCCTGGTGTGGTCCCCAGCCAGGCCATAGAGCGTGCGCACATCGTCGTCACAGGTGATGCTGTGCAGGGCCCCGCAGGCCTCACGGACCACGCAAGCACCCGCACCGCCACTGTGGCGGGCCATGGCGCCTGTGAGCAGTGGCAGCACGCCCGCCTGCACCAGGTCACGCCGGTTATGCTCGTGCTTCACGCAGGCAAAGCGCACGCAGCGCAGAGCAGCGCTGGTCACCTTGGGAGCCTCAGTGTCAGCCTCAGCCAGGCGTGCCAGAGTGCACACCAGCAGCTGCAGGCCCTGTGCGTCCAGTAGGTCAGGCTGCCCGTCGATCAGGACTGACAGGGCGTGTAGGGCCGGCAGCAGGAGGTCTGGGGTGCTGGTGGCCAGCTTCCAGGCAGCCAGCAGGGCCGGGTAGGCGCCCTTCTGTGCAGCCAGGAAGCGGCAGGCCCGGTCCCGCTGGCACTGCTCCCCGAAGGCTGAGAGCTGCACCGCCACCTCCTCAGGCCGTGCGTGTGCCACCGACTCCTGCAGGGCAGTCAGTATCTGGAGGGGCAGCAAGGCCTTGGTCAGTGCCAGGCGGGGACTCCGAGGCTCCTCCGTGCTGGAGGCCAGAGTGCCACCTGAAGCCCCGTCAGAGCACAGACTTGCCCACAGCTTGGGCACCCAGGGAGACCTCACAGCAAGACCGGCCACCCTGGCATACCCTGAGAAACGCAGAAGTTGCCACATGCTGGGCGCCCCAACTGGCAGCCTCCATCCCCCAAACTGTTAGGTCTCAGCTCAGCGTTCTGAGGCCAGGAAGGAGGGAGGAGGGAGGAGCAGCCCCCTGCGGAGCCGCCCAGCGCCGGGGCTGCTCGGTACCTGCAGGATCTCCATACCTGCAGGATCTCGTGCTGTGGCTCCTGGGGCCCAGTCCCCGACACCGTGGGTGCCTTCTTGACAATGTTGCTCAGGTCCACGCCTGTGCAGAGGAGAGAATAGGAAGGTCTGTAGACCTAGTGGGTGCCCAGGCAACCCTTCACGCCTCCTTTCTCCCATCGCCCACGGTCTCTGGGAGAGGGGTCTTCCCCAGATCCAGCCAGCACCCCTCATCCCCAGGCCAGGCCCACCCACCCCGTCTGCATGGGGGCTAGGATCGTGGGCCTTCCCTCCTGTGCAGCCAATGAGAGCAGAGCAGCCTCCCCCATGTAGCCACTTGCGGGCACCCCTACATATTTATACCCCACAATCCGTAAGGAAGCCAGCCCCTCTTTCCTCTGGCTCTCACGGAGCTGTACTATGGGGAGCTGGACATGATGGGTGAGCAGAGAGGCAGGGGGGTTCCCTGCACTGTCTACCGGGTGAGCCTACCCAGGTTGAGCTCCTGGGAGGGGCCTCCAGGTACCTTCCTCCCCAGCAAGCTGTCCACACCTCTGCCCGCCTATCTGGGCTCATGCTGGGGTGCAGAGAGTGAAGGGAGGCAAGAGGCCCTGTGGCCGGGGAGCTGTCCCCAAGAGTCTCAAGGAAGTGACAGAATGACACCCACTTGGGCTGGAGCCAAAGCACAGTGAGGAGTGTGCTGGCCATGCATGCACATGGCCAACCAGGGTTTGATTGGTGGTGCCCCATATGGTCCCCGGAGCCCCACTAGGAGTGATCCCTGAGCACAGAGCCAGGAGTCAGCCCTGAGCACTGACGGGTGTGGCGCCAGAAAAAAATAAAATAAATTCGTAACAATAAATGAGAGCCAGGGGCTGGAGCAATAGCACAGCAGGTAGGGCGTTTGCCTTGCACGCGACAGACGCGGGTTCGATTCCCAGCATCCCATATGGTCCCCTGAGCACCAGCAGGGGTAATTCCTGAGCGCAGAGCCAGGAGGAACCCCTGTGCATTGCCGGGTGTGACCCAAAAAGCAAAAAAAAAAAAAAACAATAAATGAGAGCCAGAGGGCAACCTAGGCACAGGAGGGACACAAGTGAGTTGGGGAGCAGGGGAGGGACAAGTCCTGAGGGAAGAGCACCAGACCAGCGGGGAGAGCCCATGGGGCACATAGTCTCTGTGCAAGGGTTCCAGCTCTGCTATGGCTCGGTCCTGAGCACAAAACATCATGTGAATGTGTCAAGTAAATCCCCACGTCTACACCCATGCCTACCCTGAGACTCAAACTGCTCCACAGCCTCCTGTAGCGCCTCTTCGGGCCCCATGTCGAACTCCTTCAGGTTCTCCTGCACGGCCGCATCAAAGGTTTCCTGGGTGATGCGCCGGGAAGCCATGTTGAGCTGGGAGGGAAAGGAGGCAAGATGGGCACAGCCTGGATGCCCCGGGACACGCCCAGGAACAAGACACCGGCCAGGGGTTGGAGGGGCACTGGCACGGGGTAGTACAGCCTCACACGCCAGGCACTATCCTGGTAGCTCAGCAGTCTGACCCCCCACGCCCAGCTCCACCCACGCTTTCCAGCAGCCAAGCACTGGCGAGCACAACGGAGGGGCACGCCCCTCAACCCCCCCAGAGACTAGAGGGCCCGAGAAGAGATAAATGACCAAGCTGGGTTTCCTCACTGGCACCATAGTCGCCCAGGAGAGCACTGCAGACTGTGGCCCGCCCAGACACAATCCCAACAAAACCAAGAGGCAGCAGGACCCAGAACCTGCACCCAGAGGCCAGCTGCCTGCGCCACGGCCTCCCTGTTTCACAGGGTCCCATTTCTCCCCCAGAAGGACAGATTCCGACCGGGGGCCGCTTAACGGTATGGTTGTTTTCAGTTTCCTGGGAAAGGCCAGGCGGACCATGGGTTTTCCAGAGGGACGACCCTCAGTCAGAGGTCTTGAGCCTTCCGCAAGAAGGGGGCTAATGTCTGTCTCTGGGACCACCAGGAATGCGTTCTTCGGGGTCTCTCCGCCTGGCCAGGGCTGGCAGCTCACATGTGTCTGGGGATGGGGACACCCCTTGGGAGACAGCCGGGGCCCAGGAGAGACAGAACACAGCCGCCCCGGCCCCAGGAAGGGTCTCCAGGCCCCCGCAGCCCCGCAGCTCACACCCTCGCCCGGCCTGGATCTCCCAACCGGGTTCCAACAGTGTCCAGCCCGCCGGGGTGCGGCATCTCCCGCGTTGCCTATCCGCACGCCCCACTACCTGGACCCTGCCGGCGCGCCCCGCCGCGGAACCGGGAGGAACCAACCAAAGAATGAATGAAAACGGCGCAGCCACCCGGCGCTTGAGGGGGCGGCGCTGCCGGGAGGGTCGCCCCCCACGCCCACCTAGGCCCCGGGTCCCGCCGGCCACGTGGGGCGCGGGCTGCGCAGGCGCAGTGGCGCCGCCTCCACAGCTGCCTCGGCTCTGCGAACCGCTCCCAGGTCCGGGTTCGGGAGGAACCCGGGCTTCCCGCGAGCGCACTCGAGTCCACGGGCCTGTAGGGGCGCGGCGCCGCGGTGTCTTCCCCGCCGCCGCCGCCACCGCCACCCAAAACGGGGGAACTGATCGCCTCAGGGGCGCCCGCCCAGAAGCGGCGGGGGTGGGGCAGTGCGCCTGCGCACTCGGGCGCGGCGGCGGCGGCGACCTGCGCCTGCGCTCCCTGACCCGGAGGCGGCTTGCGCCTGCGCGGCGGGGCGCTGCGGAGACGGTTGGCTCATTTGCATGTCCCCGCCCCGCGCGGCGGCGGCCGAGCTTGAGGAGCCTGAGGCGGCGGCGGGGGCGGCTCCGCGCGCGGTGGGCTCGGGGTGAGGGGCCGGGCGGGGCGCGGCGGAGGGGCGGGGTCCGGGGTGAGGGGCCGGCCTGGGCTCAGGGTGAGAGGCCGGGCTGAGGGCCGAGGGGCCCGGGCTGTGGTGGGGGGTTGGGCTGAGGGGAGCCGCGCGGGGGGCGGGGGGCCTGGGGCCACAGCAGGGTGGGGTTCGGGCCCGGCAACGGGCTGAGGGGGTCGGGGAAGGGGGATGGAAGGGAGGAGGGGAGCCGAGTGGGGACGGCGTGAGGGGGGGCTTGGCCTTGGAGGGCCGTGGGGCGGTGTGTCCTCCAGGGCCTGACGCCCCCTTTCCGGTGCCCGGGTGCCAGAGTGGGTGGGGGCGGGGAGGAGGTGCGGCTCTGGAGGTGGGGGGAGCGCTCGGTCACTCAGGGTCCCCCTGGCGAGATCCCCCTAACGGTGTCAGCTGGTTTCACCCCCCACGCCCCCATCGGAGTTGCCCATTGCAGGGATGGGGGAAGGGGAAACCCAGAACCCCGCTTTTCCTCCGGGGAACCCAAGGCACAGCCACTCCCCTCCCCGAGCGTGATGGTTGGGAGCGATGATGGTGGAAGGTGGGGTTCGCGTTCCGAGGTGGGAGGGACCCCCACCCCTGAGTAGCCTCCCCGGGCTCTGCTCTGCGGCTGCTCCTCAGGTTCTGGGCGTGGCTCCCCGCCCTGCAGTCCCGCCTGCCAGATTGAGTGAGGGTCTGACCTTGGAGGAGTCACCACGGAGCCGAGTCAACCTTTTTACTCTTTAATGTTGTGTGGTTGGGGACTTGACTAGCTGGTGGGTCGCGAGTCGCAGCTGACGGTGACATGGGGAACATGGGGAACCCTGCACGCTCCCCCACCCCTGCCGTCACCGATGTCACCGGTGCCGCGGGGTCCCTCTCCTGCCCCCTCTAAAGCTAGTGCTCCCTCCCACCAAGCCACGGAGGAGGAATGGTCACGTGTCCCCCTCTGCTTCATAGCAGAGGTTGTTGGCACCCTGGCACTGTGCTGTCAAGTCCAGTTAGGGGTGCTGCTACACAGCTACACCCATACTAATGCGTTTCTGGAGTGGTGTTGGTTTTTCTTGGGGTACCTGGGCTGGAAACGGTAGTGTGTTCTCTGGACCCTGCAGTAGGGCCCAGCCTCTCCTGGGCCCAGGGTAGACCCCTGAGCTATCTCTCTGGGTCTGGGGCACAGGCTTTGAACCATTGTTTCCCAAAGTGGTTGATACCGGCCTGAGTATAGCAGGGAGGGTATTTGCACTGTATGCAGTTGACCTGGGTTCAATCCCCAGCACCTCATATGATACCCCAAGCCCACTAGGAGTGATCCCTGAGTGTAGAGCCAGGAGTAGGTGCTGAGCACTGCTCTTCAGGGCCCCTCCCCTTAAAAAAAAGTGGGCTATATTCCTCTCTGGGATGCAGTAGTAACCTCCAGTGCAATTGTGTGGCTACCCTGCCATCTGGTAGCATAAAGGAAGATTTCAGGGTACTGAGTTGCATTTTCTTTTCCTGAAAAGAAGGGTGGTAGGTTAAATTGAGGAATCTGTTTTAAGGGATTGCAATCAAATGGGCACAGAGAAACAAAGTTAATTGTTCAAGGTCCTATTGCTCCTTCCCAGCCAGCACAGACCTCTGAGCTTCTTGCCTTTACTTCAGTTCACAGAGATTGGGTTGGAGAGAGGAAAGAGCCAGAAGGTTCTTTCCTTGCATGTGGCTGATCCCAGTTCACCACCAGGAGTAATCCCTGAGCATAACAGGATGTAAACCAAACAAAATCAAACAGAAAGTTTACATAATTTCAGGGGTTGGGGCTAGAGAGAAAGTGCAGTGGGTAGGGCAACCTTGCCTTGCACAGGACTGACCCAGGCTCCATCTCCCACATCCTTTATGGCCCCTGAGCACTGCCAGGAGCACAGAGTTGGAGTCAGCCCTAAGCACTGCCAGATGTGGCCCCAACACCCCCAAAACTCAGGTGTACAGCCTACCTGTGAACTTTTTTTTTTCTTTCTGGGTCACACCCAGCAGTGCACAGGGGTTACTCCTGGCTCGTGCACTCAGGAATTACTCCTAGCAGTGCTCAGGGGACCATATGGGATGCTGGGAATCGAACCTGGGTCGGACGCGTGAAAGGCAAATGCCCTACCTGCTGTGCTATTGCTCCAGCCCCTGTGAACTTCTTTTGGGTGAGTTCTCTTAAGCAGTTTTTAAGGGGGTCCAGCCATGCAACTCATTGCATAAGCCTAGCAGTGCTCATTGGCTGCCATAGCTATAACTGACCATGCTGGGAATTAGTGAGCTTTTTTTTAATTAGTGAACTTTTTGATGAAAGGCACACTAGTGGTGTTCTGATTGTCCCAGGAATGTGGGGACCATGCAGTTCTGGGCACTGATCCCCTGTCTCCTGCATGCAAAACTTGTCTTCCAGCCAGTTATGCAAATTCTCCAGCCCCTGCCTGGTAACTGTTCTGTTTTGGCTTGGGGGCCACACCCAGCAGTGCTCAGGGCTTACACCTTGCTGTGCATTCAGGGATCACCCCAGCAGGACTTGAGGAACCATGTGAGGTGCCAGGAATTGGATTTGGGTCAGCTGCGTGCTAGGGAAGTGCTCTACCTTCTATACTCTCGCTCCCACCCCACCTGGGAACTTCTTGTGGGGAGAGGCCCCTTTAAAGCAGTCTGGCTGCCTGTGCAGTTTCAGGCTGGACTCTGGGTCACTGCCTTACTGCTTGGAGTATCCGGTGACACTGTAGGCTCTGGGGGCAACCACTGTCCTCTCAGTGGCCTTTTTCTCTCACCACAGGTTGGAGAAACATGACAAGACGAATTGCACAGGAGACCTTGGATGCTGTGCTTCAGGAGAAATCTGACCGGTACCACATGGATTCCACTGGCGAGGCTGGGGGTGACACTCTCCCATTTAAAACTCAAGGTAAATAAAGGGGCTTGGCTTTGGGGGCTGGAAGATGAGTGTGGCACAGGGCTATATTTAGAGCTAGCACAGGAGGATTTCTATGTTTTGGGCAAACTGCCCACCCCTTCTGCACTTCTATTTCTTAAGGGGAGATAAAGTTTTTCAGGGGCTACCCGTGAAAATGCCCTACCGCTGTGCTATTGCCTTTACCTTTACCTTTTACCTTTACCCGTGAAAAAGGAGACTGTGTCATCCAGGAGCGATAGCACAGCGGTAGGGCGTTTGCCTTGCACGCAGCCAACATGGCCAACCCGAGTTTGATTCCTCCGCCCCTCTCGGAGAGCCCAGCAAGCTACCGAGAGTATCTCGCCCGCACGGCAGAGCCTGGCAAGCTCCCCGTGATGTATTCGATATGCCAAACACACTAACAACAAAATCTCCAATGGAGACGTTACTAGGCCCGCTCGAGCAAATCGATGAACAACGGGAGGGCCTTTACCTTTACCCGTGAAAAAGGAGACTGTGTCATCCAGAGTTCCTCCTCCCTGCTGCACTTCTGGACACTGCCCTGGTTTGAGTGTCAGTCAGTTCTTGCCACACTCTCCTCCTGAGCAGTCAGCTCCTGCTTCTTTTCCCTCTAATCTGAGAGACAGAGAGCTGTGTCTTTTAACTGGAGACAGGTGTCAATACATGTTTTAGTACCTGCCGAGAGATTGTGGGTGTGGAGGGTAAAGGAAGCAGGAAATCATGGTGGTTCTGAGACCACCCAGGAGCTCCGGCTTCTGCCACATAGCCGCCTGCACCGCTGGCTGGCCTTGCTTTCTCTGTTTCCCTGCGCACTTCTGGGCTTGCAGTGCCTTGGGAATCATTGGGAAATTCTGAGGCGTAGATTGTAGATTCCAGCCCCCAATGCTGTACACTAATTTTCCCCAGCACATGGATGAGCCCTAGAGCCACCTCCACTCCTGAGGCCTGTGTCCTGCAGGTTACCCTCTGACTTCGTCTGTTTCTGTCCCATGTCTTCTATCAGTGTGGCTCACTAACTTTTTAGATTCATATGGAAACTTTATTGGGGGATGGGTATTTTACTTTTTAGGGGATGGTGAGCTTTCCAGGAAGTGCGCAGGAGGTCTGGGGTTCCCTCGGGTAGTTCTCTGACAACCTATCTGGTGCCCCAATGCAAGAGCCAGGGAATGTAGTGCTGCACAGGCCCTGCAGGGCTGGCAATTACCAGGCTCTCCCAGCAATGCTCTGAGGCCTGTAGGGCCCCTGAACATCCACACAGTGTTTGGGTGACCACATAGTGTCAGGGATTGAACCAGGGTCAGCTGCATGCAAGGCATACTCCTGCAACCCTGTACGACCTGCCTGACCTGGCCCCACACTTGATCACCTCTTGGAAATCTGCTGTCCAGGCCACATTTTCTAGTTCATTAAGTTTGCTGGGATCTGGGGGGACTTCAGTGTTAGTAGAACTTAGAAGCCACCTTCCTCTTACTTTGTCCCCTTGCTTTCACTCCCACATCAGTCCCTTGCTGATCCCATTTGAGGGCTCCCCACTCACTGCAGGCCTCTGCCATTCAGAGCCACCTGGCCTGGACAGCTTTCCCCACTTCCTGCTTGGTGTTGGCACTTCTTTTACTCAGGAGATTGAGCTCATTGTGAGCAGTGAGCTGCCAACCTAACTGGTGGCCCAATGCAATGCAAGAACCTGAGAATGTGGTGCTGCTCAGGGCCAGGAAGTTCAGGCACTTTGCTGCCTCCTTTCCCTATGCTCACATACAGTGATTGATTGGAGCTAGATTGGCAACAACTCTAGATTCCTGTGTCCTCTGGGCAGATACCTCCCTGTGAACCTCACTTTTTCTTATTTTCTTACCGTTTGTGAGGAGGTGATAGATTTGGAGACCTCCTTTGAAGTCTCCCTGAGGCCCACTGTCCACTTGTGCCTGTGCTGCGCTCATGTTGCTGGCCGCTGATGGGTCTCCCCAGGGAGACACCAGTTCAGGGACCTGTTGACTCCTTCCCACCGAAAAGTACAGACATTCACCCTTTCTCTCCTCAGGGCCCATCCCTGTGCTTAGTTTATCTGCTCCTTTCCCTCTTCTCTGCCTCCAACTCACTTGTTTTATTGGTTTGGCTTTTGGGCCACCCCCAGTGGTGTAAGGGCGGCTCCTCATTTGGTGCTCAGAAAGACCCAACAGTGCTGGGGGAACATGCTGGCCGAGAGCATGTCGAACCCAGGTCTCCACTATGCAGACCATGTGCTCTGGCCCCTTCCTCTCCATCTGTTTTCTTGAACATTGCTTGGCCCAGAAGCCTTTCCAAGGGGCAGTTGCTTGGTGTGCTGTGTGTAGGCGACTCAGAGCCACGTGGGAGTGGGCTGCGCCTGCTCTCACTGCGCCTATCTGGCTGATGCTGGCCAAAGCATGTAGGCCTGTGGCTTTTACAATATTTAAGTAAAACCACATGAATTTCACATGTTGGTAACACAGATGAATTTGTGAAACGCATTCAAGCAGATTAAACTCCTGCTGGGGTCCAAAGACTGTTTACAGCTTCTGATCTAAAGTATTACTTCTGCGGGTTTTGGATTTTTTTGTTTTTGTTTTTTGTTTTTTTGCTTTTTGGGTCACACCTGGAGATACTCAGGGGTTACTCCTGGCTCAGCACACAGGAATTACACTTGGTAGTGCTCAGGGGACCATATGGGATGCCGGGGATTGAACCCAGTTCTGCAAGGCAAATGCCCTACCCACTGTACTATTGCTCCGGCCCCCTTTGTGTTTCTTTTGGATCATTTATTTCAGACCTTCTAAGGACAGCCCCGAGAGCCAGAGCAGATGTGTATGAGGATGTTCCCGGTGACAGCAGATATTCTCGCAGTGGCTCTGGAGCTCACTCACGAGGCTCTGGGAGAGGTGGTGTATTTCCAGGACCTTCCTTCAGATCAAGCAACCCTTCTGTAAGTGACAACAATTACTTCCGCAAAGAAGGTGGCCGGGATCTGGAATTCTCCCACCCTGACTCCCGAGATCAGATCTTTGGCCACCGGAAATCAGGACATTTCCGCTCTCCGGATTGGAAATTTGCACTCCGTGGCTCCTGGAAACAGGGCTTTGGCCACACCGTTTCTCAAGAATCCTCTTGGGCACAGGAGTGTGGTCTTGCTTCTTCGGCCCTACTGGGGGACTTCGGCTCTTCCAGGCTAGTTGAGAAAGAGTGTCTGGAGAAGGAGGGTCGAGATTATGATGTGGACCGTCAGGGGGAGGCTGATTCTGTGCTCAGGGCTGCTGGCCGGAGTCTCAAGATTATTGACCAGGAGGGCACCCACCTAGGAAAGGGGGAGACTCAGGGCCTGCTCACCCCTAAAGTGGGGGCTGGGAAACTTGTCACGCTGAGGAATGTGAGCCCCAAAAAAATACCTGCTGTAAATCGAGTGACCCCTAAAACTCAGGGCACGAACCAAATCCAGAAACCTACACCAGGTTCTGATGTGACCCTGGGGACAAACCCAGGGACAGAAGACATCCAGTTTCCCACTCCGAAGATCCCTTTGGGCCTCCACCTGAAGGATATTCGACTTCCCAGAAGGAAGATGAGCTTCGACCTCATAGATAAGTCTGATGTTTTTTCAAGATTTGGAATAGAAATAATCAAGTGGGCAGGATTCCACACCATAAAAGATGATGTTAAATTTTCTCAGCTTTTCCAGACTCTCTTTGAACTTGAAACCGAAACCTGTGCCAAAATGCTCGCCTCGTTCAAATGCTCTTTAAAACCTGAGCACCGAGATTTTTGCTTTTTTACTATCAAATTTTTAAAGCACGCTGCTTTGAAAACACCTAGAGTTGATAACGAGTTTTTAAACATGCTTTTAGATAAAGGTGCTGTGAAGACCAAAAATTGCTTTTTCGAAATTATCAAGCCTTTTGACAAGTACATCATGAGGCTTCAGGACCGGCTGCTGAAGAGTGTCACGCCCTTGCTCATGGCCTGCAATGCCTATGAACTGAGCGTCAAGATGAAGACCCTCAGCAACCCCCTGGACTTGGCTGTGGCCCTGGAGACCACCAATTCTCTCTGCCGGAAATCTCTGGCCCTTTTGGGGCAGACCTTCTCCTTGGCCTCGTCTTTTCGACAAGAGAAGATCTTAGAGGCTGTTGGCCTCCAGGACATTGCTCCCTCTCCAGCCGCATTCCCAAACTTTGAGGACTCCACTCTGTTCGGGAGGGAGTACATCGACCACCTGAAGGCCTGGCTGGTCAGCAGTGGGTTTCCACTGCAGATCAAGAAGACTGAACCTGAGCCGCATCAAGAGGAAGAGAAAACCATTCCTCCAACGAGTGAGGAAACTCAGGCCAATGCTCCATGTGGTCTGAGTGATGGTAAGGAAATCAGCAGACCTTTCTAGTCATTGTGATTCCATTTTGTTTGTTTGGTTTTGGGTCATACCTCTGCACTCAGGGATCACTCTTGGTAGGGATGGGCGCACCCTAGGGGATGCTGGGGATCAAACCTGGGTCAGTTGCATGCAAGGAAAATGCCCTTCCCACTGTGCTATCACTCTGGCCCTTGTCCCAGGCTCTTTTCTGTGCTTTATGGCTGGTGATCCTGAGGTCACCTCCACCACAATCTGGGGACTTTTGTGCTGCTGTCTTGGAGGCCTCTAAGCCTCAGCGCTACACCCTGAGTATTAGCAGCTGCAAAGCTTGGGTTTGTGTCTGGGTGGCCAGTAGATGGCGCCAGCATCTCGTGTCCTGCCTCCTGCCACTGACTTCTGTGAGAAATGCTGGCTGGGCTGGGGCTGGGGCTGGGGCTGGGGCTGGGGCTGGGGCTGGGGCTGAGCTGTATAGAGCATTTGCTTTGCTTGTGTTAGTCCTTGGCTCTGATCCCTGGCACTGTAAAACAAAACAAAACCCTTGGATGGTGTCTATGGTTGTATTTATTAGTGGTTGCATATTTTTCTTCATTTTAGGTTTTGGGGCCACACCAGCGGTGCTCAGGGTTTACTCCTGGTTCTGTGCTCAGAGATCATTATTGGTAGGGCTCCGGGGACCATATAGGATGCCAGGACCAATCCCGGGTTGACAGTGTACAAGGCCAGTGCCCTCCCTGCTGAACTATCTCTCTAGTCCCAATGGTGTATTTATTTTAAAATCTCTTTGTAAAGGAGCTGTTCTCAGGAGAATTGCTAGACCAAATCTGGGGGCCACTTTTTGGCTTCTAGTAGAGGTTTTTGCTGGGACAAACCTGGGGGCTACTTTTTGGCTTTAATTTTGGTTGGGGGGCACACCCAGTGGGCTCAGGGCCTACTTCTGACTCTGTACCCAGGGATTACCACCATATGTGGTGCTGGTTTCTCACATGACTTGGAGCTTCATAGCAAAGTTGCATTTATAGGTCTGTATGGCCACTCAGCTGTGACTGTCCCCTCATGGCTGTGCTTAGAGTTTGGAAAGACATTTGCATGTTGGTCAGTAGGGGGCTCTCCTCTCTTCTTCACTGCTGGTCCCTGGTGAGTGCTGACCCCTGACTCATCCTAAACCCTGACTCTGCTGGTCTTTCCAAGACCCTGTGTGGCCCTGAACTTTTCTCAGAAAAGCCCTCTTTGTTACAGTGGTACCCCAGCGAGCAGATCACAAGGTGGTGGACGCCATTGACCAGCTAGTCTCGCGCATCATCGGAGGCAGCCTGTCCCCCAGAGAGAGAGCCCTCCTCAGGGAGGACCCTGCTTATTGGTAGGTCTGCACATGTTACCCCTGAGTCCATGCAACTTTTCAGGGGCTTTGGGAGAGCATTTGGCAGAGGGTGAGCCTGTGCAGGGAACTCGAGGGAGCATCAGTGCTCCTGGTTGCCAGCCCTGCCCAGCTGCAGACCTGGTGTGGCCTCGGTAGCGCTGCCTTCCTTTAGCTTTCCATTGTCCAGAAGCGTTCACTGCTTGTCTCCCCCTTCCCTTTTGTTGTCACAATGATGGGGTTACATATCTGTACTCGACTGCGGAGGATGCAGGAGGTCACTCATGCTGTGCTTGCTGGCATTGCTGGACTTGCTGGGCATTGTACATTTTTAGTTTTGTTTTGGGGCCACACCCAGTGATGCTCAGAGTTTAATCCTGAGCATAGATCACGCTCAGGGATCACTCCTGGCGGTGCTTTGGGGGGACTATGTGGGATGGTGGGATCAGGCACCCTACCCCACTCTACTGTCTCTCCAGCCCCAGTGTTGCACACATGCTGGCCAGCGGTCACACTCACCTGACCGCAGCTCTCCAGAGCTTGCACACTGTGTACAGCAGAGCCCTTACTTGTCACAGGGATGTGAGAGGCATGTGCAAAGAACCTTGATCTGCTGACATCTGTTCATGATCTGCTGCTGCCTTTTATGCAACTGTTCTGTCCCCTTTTGCATTGGAGCCTTTTTACATGAATCGAGCAACTTCAGAAAACATTTTTCTCATGAATCTAGCCAGTACTCGCTTATTATCAGGGGAAGTGAAGAACAGGGTCTGAAGAGAGAGTGCAGCAGGTAAGGCACTTGCCTGGCACATGACTGACCTGGGACTGATCCCTATCCTCCTTTGGTCCCCAAGCACCACCAGGAGTGACCCCTCAGTGCAGAGCTAGGAGCCCTGAGCACTGCAGGTATGGCCCAAAGACTTTCTTCAAAAAAAAAAAGGGAAAGTGAAGAACAGTTGGGGAGAGCAGCCTGGGACACGCCCCCACCGTCCACTGAAAGGGATCGGCTTCTGCTCCTGCTCACTGCATCCCCTGTGAGTTTGCTTTTGTCCTGTCGTGTGGCAGTCTGATGATGTGGCCTGTTACTCTGAGGCGAGGCCGGAAGGCAATTGTGCTTCTGTCTGCCATCATCATGAGTGGACCTGACCACTGGCTGGAGCAGGGGCTCAGGTTATTCAGCCGTTCTTTCCTTACTGGAGGTGGAACACATTTCAGGGTTTTCTAGCTAGTGTTGGGGGTGAACCCAGGTTTCACATATACGAGGCAAGTGCTGTACTGCTGAGTCAGATCCTCATCCCTCCGTTTGGTTTGGATTGTTCTGTTTGTTTGGTTGTTTTTGGTTTGGTTTGGTTTGGGGGCCACATTCAGCAATGCTCAGGGGTTACTCCTGGCTCTGCACTTAGGAATCACTCCTGGCAGTGCTCAGGAGACCATATGGGATGCTGGGGGTTGAACCTGGGTTGGCCACGTGCAGAGTAAGTGCCTTACCTGCTCCTTCAGCCATGGTCACTGCTCCTGCTGGCAGGCTTCTGGGAACTGGCGAAAAGGGACAGAAGGACACGTGACTGGCATCCTCATTCTCAGAGCCAGGGCAGCCCTGAGATCCTCGCCTCGGTATTGGCTCCCTTCTGCTCTGGCAAGCATGGTGGCACATCAGGAGGGAAGCACGTAGCACCCTCTGCTGTCTGCTCTCAGCCCAACCAGTGGCCAGGCCTAGCCAAACAGGGCTCCCTGATTCCGGAGGGCCCGAGATGCCTTGCGGCACAGTGGGATAGGCACAGAGCTGCTTTCCATGCAACCCTGCCCTGCTGTGCCACCCAGGTCTCCTCTTCTCTGTCCTCATGGAGACGTTGGCACCTGGTTTCATGGAGGACATGGGGATCCGTGGAGCCCAGCCTCCTGACTACTTGTCGGGTACGTTTACCCCAGCAGCATCCAGGAGTGATACCTGCTTTGTGCTGTCAACATCCTGTCATGCAGGCCTGCTCGGCAGAAATGTGGAGCCACCCCTTACCCCCGCCTCTGAGGCCCTGGGGTTCAGGGTTGTCAGGCACAGCCACTGGTGCAGCAGAGAGGTTGCTACACAGCCAGGGTTTACAAAAACTGATGCAGGGAACCGGTGGTATTTCAGTCACGTCCTGCTGCCCTTTGTGTCGTCTAGGTTTCTGTCTGATGACCGCAGCCTGGAGTATAAGTACTATAAGCTGAAGCTGGCTGAAGTGCAGCGGAAGAGCCAGACCTCGGCAGAAGCAGATGGGAACCCCCTGGCCGCAGAGTGTGCGGTCCGAGCCATGCTGTATGCACGGGCTGTCCGCGGCCTCAAGAAAAGGCTCCTCCCAGGGAGGCGGCGCGGGCTGCTGCGTGCCCAGGGGCTGCGGGGCTGGAAGGCACGGAGAGTGACCACTGGCACCCAGACCCTCCTCTCCTCAGGCACCAGACTGAAGCACCATGGCCGACAGGGCCCGGGCACCCTGCAAGGGAAGCAGCTGCTCCCCCTGGACAGAAGCAGTCCTGCCAAGGCCTGCCCTGACCCAGCTAGGCCCCCTCCCCTGAAGCCCAGCCCAGGAGCCTCAGCAGGACCAGCCATCTCCGATGCCCCTCAGCCCTCCTCTCCCAGGTCTGCTGATGGTGAGTCCGTCCTCTCTCCTTTTGTGTGCAGCCCTAATGGGAGCGACCACTGCAGGCGAGCTGGCCTTCTTGGCGCACACATAGAGGCCCTTTCCCCTCGTGTTTCCAGGGGGACAATTTAGGGAGAGGCAATGGGTGGCCTATATTTCTATCATACTCTTCCTCATCCTGGGTTGGCACTGCCTCATGCCCCTGCCCAGGCATTTATTCATTCCTCAAGGCTGTGCTGTTCCATGTTTGGGGTCGTGAATGCTTAAATCCATGTCCCATTCTTGCCTTGTCTGGTCCTGCAGGCTACCTCTACCCGGCTCTGTCTCTGTGCCAGGGTAAGAGACCCCCGTCCCCTCTTTTCTCTTGGCCTCTCTTCTCCTGTGGGAATAAGGCTGGCCTCATCAGTATCCCACTCAGCAGTGAGGGGACAGTGGGGGGGTGCACATGGCCTCCATGCCCACCCCATTGCAACAGGTGGTTTCCGTGGTGTTCCCAGGCCCCAGACTCACAGGACAGTCACAGGACATTGTGCAGCTTGCTGGATTTTGTTCCCATGTAGACTTATGAGGATCTGGTACCCCAGCCACGTAGAAACAGAGCTGCAGAGCCACATGGCCTCAGCCAGGGTGTAGTGTCACAATCTCGGGAAGTGGTGGGCGGGACCCAATATCTGATTCTTCCTCTGTCTTACAGTTGACGTGAAGACAATGGAGACCGCAGAGAAACTGGCCAAGTTTGTCGCTCAGGTGGGGCCAGAGATTGAACAATTCAGCATAGAAAATAGCACTGACAACCCTGACCTCTGGTAGGTATGCGCCACCTCTGGAGACTCAAGTGATTCAAGTGTGTCATCCCCAGACATGGTCACCCAGGCCTAAGGCACAGCTGCACATGTGCTACGCATGGGCCCTGCTAGAGAAGTCCTGGGGTGGGGAGAGGAACCTCTATAAACTACAGAAAAGCAGAGAGAGTGTTGGTGTTTGTGTGTGCTGAGGGTCCAGCCAGTGTCCCCGTCCCCTTCCTGCCTCCTGCTCCCTGCCAGCCTGTCTGCAGTTTTGTTTGGGGGCCACACCCAGCGGTGCTCAGGGCTTACCTATTCTTAGCACTTCACTCAGGGATCACTCCTGGTGGGTCTCTGGGGACTCTTTGGGTTGTCCGAGATTGAACCCGGGTTGACTGCATGCACAGGAAAGGTTCCCCCACTATGTCTTGTCCCCCACCCCCAAAAGCTATCCTATCTCCCGGGCCTGTCTTTGTTCTTGATATAAGGCCTCACATGTGAGATATGAGTTTTCCCTCTGAAGCCAGACACACTCGGTTTTGTTCTTAGGTTGCATCCAGAGGTGTGCAGGGGCTCCTCCCAGTGGGCAGGAGTGCTAGGCTCAGGACCGGAGCCTGTGCCCACCCCCTTCCCCCCACCCCCGAGCTGTGCCTCCATCCCGAGCTTCTCATCCTGGTCCTGACTTGCTTCCCATTGGATGTGACTCCCAGAGGCCAGAGCACTTTCTCCTCCCCTTTTACAGTGCCGCCGGGCCTTTGGGACTAGATCTTTTTTGGTTTCCTCCGTGTCTACAAGCCCTTCTGTGTGGTTGGTTGCTTGTTTGGGTTTGTCTCCCCGGTGGTGTTGGGGCACCAGGGCTCAAACACCTGACATGTGCTCCAACCCTTTCTCCCGACCTGTCAGCACTGTCATCTGTTTCCTCTCTCCGTCCCTCATATTTCACTCTGCGCGGCACATTCTCACGTCTCCCTTGGGACTTGGGAGACCCTCACTCTCGGTCACAGACATCCACTTTCTTCTCGACCGTGTGTGTGTGTGTGTGTGTGTGTGTGTGTGTGTGCGCGCGCGCGGTGGGTGTTCACAACCGGTATCTGGTCTCTGCAGGCATTCTGAGAGCCTTAAGTGACTGAGGCGCAGTCTCTACCCTGGCCAGTGCTCCCAGCCCTGTCCCTTAACAGGCTCTTCAGCGAAGCCACCTGCATCCCTTCCCTTGCTGCCCCTTCCAGGGAGGCGTTCCCACCTGTGCTATCTTGGCCCTACCTTGAGCGTGTGCAATTACCCTGGTGTTCCCTGAGAGCATTGCAGCCCTGGACAGCCTGGTGCTGCTCAGGAGCTGGTGCTGTGGGCCAAGCGTTCCTGTCTGGGAGTCAGACTGTCTGTCATGCTCTAAGGATCTCTAATGTCGCAACAGACAGCCGGCCCCAGGGGCCTGAGGGCTTGTTTCTCCACCCCTCCCCTAAAGCTCTTCAGCCTCTTCAGTCCTGGCTTCCCCATGACATGAGTAACCCGCCTCAGACATCCATGAGTTGGCAGGAGTCAGTGGCCCGGTCACTGTCGCCCACTGCAGTCAGGCCAGCCTGCCTGACATTCCAGCGGATGAGATGACTCAGCGGCCCCGGGCTAACTTGTTTCATTCCTCCTTTTCCCAGGTTTCTCCATGACCAGAACAGCTCAGCTTTCAAATTCTACCGTCAGAAAGTCTTGGAGCTGTGCCCCTCGATTTGTTTCCCCTTGGCTCCCCGGAGCCCTCACACCGACGAGCAGGAGGATGGGCAGGGGCATGCCCTGGATCCCAAGCCTGAGGAGGAGCCTGCACAGCAGGAGGCCAAGCTGGACATCCCAGAGCCTATGCCTGAAGAAGAGGAAGAGAGAGAGGAGGAGGGGGGCGTCCCCAGGCCGGCAGGAGTCCTTGCCAAGTCGGAGGGCTCCGAGGGCAGCCCCCCTACTGATTGCATCCTGAGCGAGGCAGCTGACGAGGGCCCAGCGGGCTCAGCAATGCCGTCCCAGGCTACACCAGGGGCCTGCTTTCCCCGGAAGAGGGTCAGCAGCAAGTCCCTGAAGGTGGGCATGATTCCAGCCCCCAAGAGATTGTGTCTTGTCCAAGAGCCCAAAGGTGAGTGCTCAGCTGGTTGCAGAACCCCCACCGCCCCCACTGCCGGCTCCCCTGCCTGGGAGGAAGCTCTGCTTCCCCACACTGTCGGGGGGGCTGCTGCCTGGCCTTTTATTGCTTTCTTCTGCCCTCGCCCACCCAGATGTCACCTTCCAGCCAGCCTGGGACATGCTCTCAGGGGGCTGATGGCTCTAAGGGACTTGTGGTGGTGCTGGTCTCCCAAAACCTGTGTCCTGCATCCTCACACCTTGGTGGAGTGTCCCTGTGCCATAAATGGCTTCAATCTGGGACCCTCTTGGCTTTATCCTGGGTGGCAGCGGTGCCCCTGGGGGATGGGGTTGTAGGGGGCGAGGCTGTTTGGGTTGTCTTACCTCTTAGATTGATGTTTGTTTGATGGGAGAGCCACACCCAGTGGTGCAGGGACTATATTAATCTCAGCGCGTGGGGGTCACTCCTGCCAGTCCCAGGGACTGAACCCTGGCCCCCTGCCTACAGAGCCTGTGTTTCAGCCTCGGAGCCCTCCTCTGGCCCTCTTTGGTTCATGCTCTATCCATGTTGCTGTTGCTACAGTGACTGGGTCAAGCCCCTGCCTGGTCAGGAATTGGCACACCAGACCAACTGTGCTGCTGCCAAGGTTTGCCCCGGAGCTGCAGGATCACTCTCAGCCAGACATGTACAGGGTGGAGGTGCTGGCCCGGGCTCCCCACTGCCCTGCACCTCACCCTTGCTTCCCAGAGGCTGTGCTTCCTGGGTGCAGCGCGTACTTGTCTCTTCAGTAGTGCTTGCCTTGTGGAGACCACACCCCTTTGTTGTGGAGCACACATACACACACACACACACACACACACACACACACGTGGCAGTGGGGTGGCTGGAACTCATTTGCAGCATCAGGCACCCCAGAGAGCAGAGTTTCCAGGACCCTGCCCAGCCCATGCAGGACGCAGGGATGCTTGCTGAGACAGACACCAGGATGCCTGTTAGGACACAGGGATGCTTGCTCGGACACAGGGGTACTTGTTCAGATGGACATAGGGATTCTAAGCCCCATAATGACTCCAGGCCTAAAACATGGTTTAGTATTTCCTTTGGCAGGGAGGTAGGAGGGGAGCGGAATGGAACCCAGGCTCTCACGTGAGGCATGTGTTCTAAGCAGAAAGTTCTCCATGGGCTTTAGTTGTGGAGGAATAGTTCCAGCTGTTAGAGCTCTTGTAGTTCCATCCACAAGTGACGCAGCTCCTGCAGGCCTGGGGAAGTTCCACATGCTCTGCCTCAGAGGCACCACATGTCCCCCAGGAAACACGGCCGCCTACATTCTCTGGTTCATCTGGTTCATGTGTTTATGTGTATGTCACTCTTATCTTCTAGTCCATGAACCGGTTCGCATCGCTTACGACAGGCCACAGGGACAACCCATGTCCACTGAGGTGAGCCAACTGGATTCTGAAGTCCTTGAGTATCTACTCCAAAGGACATTGAACCAAGTCAGCCAAATGGCATCCAGAGTGTTGAACCCAGCACCTAGCACCCGAGGGTGGTGGCCTGGCCAAGGACTACGTCATGGCCATGGTGTGGTCCCAGCACACAAGCTCTGCTGGCAGCATGTGTCCGGGCCTCATCAGCTGTGAGCAGGGTCCAAAGCAATAGGCATGGGGGAATGGGGGCCAAAGAGATAGAACAGCAGGTAGGGCACTCGCCTTACACAGAGCCACCCTAGGTTCAATCCCTGGCACTCCATATGGTCTCCCAACACCACCAGGAGTAATTTCTGAGCATCTCCTGAAGTGGCCCAAAAACCAAAAAAAAAATGAATGGGGCATTGGTGCAGAGTTGAGCAGGAGAGCAAAATGGGCTCAGGTGCATTTCCTCAGTCCCTGTGTGCCCTGTGCTAGCAGCTGCTGGCCCCACTGCTGCCTGCCGTGTGCCCATGTGTGCCTGCAGTCAGCCGCTACCACCCCTGTCATCAATTCCCCCTTCCCTTAACACCTGCTGGAGAGGGTGCATGTGCATCCCGGATCTCTGAGAGGAGGGGACAGTCCCAGGCCCGTGTACATCCCAGATCTCTGGAAGGACAGGACAGTCCCAGGCCTGGGTATATCCCAGATCTCTGGGAGGTGGGGACAGTCCCCAGCCCTTCTCTGCAGCCGGTTTGCCTTCTCTCCTAGAAACCCAAGGACCTGGAGTTTGCTCAGCAGAAGCTGACAGGCAAGAACTTGGGCTTCCAGATGCTGCAGAAGATGGGCTGGAAGGAGGGCCACGGCCTGGGCTCCTGCAGCGAGGGCATCAGGGACCCCGTCAGCATGTACGCAGGCACGGGGGCACGATGCTGCTCTGCACCCTGGATGAGGGGGCTGGGGAGCAGCTGTGGCTGGTTCTGGGGGTCCAGGTCTTTTCCATGTGCTCATTGGGGCTGCCAGAGCCCTGCGTGAGGTTAGCTGGGGTCTTTCTGGTGATTTGCTTAAGAAGGGAGTTCTCGAGAGCGGCAGTGCAGAACTTTATTCCAGAAAGGGGCCAAGTGGGTCTGGGAGTGCTGGCGGCAGCTACATCCCCATTGTGCCACTGGGGTTGGGTGGCGGCTACACCCAGAACCTCACTCCCATTTCTGGACCTCGTGAGCACTTAGTCATTCCAGTGCCGGCCCCAGATGCTGCTCCTTTCCTTACTGAGCCTCACCCCTGCAGGGACCTTTCTCTCTTTCCCTGACTGTCACAATGTCATCTGTCCCTTGCACTGTCTGCCTGGGCCTGACTCTGAGCTCCTCCCCGACTCTGTTTCGCTCCTCAGGGCAACCGCCTCGGAAGGAACAGGCTTGGGCACCGCCGGGCAGGAGCACCGGGAAGACACGTTCGATGAGTTCCGCCAGCGGATGATGCAGATGTACAGACACAAGCGAGCCAACAAATAGGTGCGTGTGCTGCGCCCTGCAGGGGAGCGAGGGCACCAGGCTGCGGCTTAGTGGCCCTGCACCACCCCCCTTTTCCTCGGGAAGGCCCTCAGACTCTGCGGCCTCATCTCTCTTTCTGCTTACCCTCCTGCTTCTCTCCAGCCCCCCCGTTGAACTGACTCCTTCTCTCCCACTTAGATCAGAGCCATTGGTGAGAGAGAGCAGGCTCGAAGCAGCAATTACTTTAAAACGCCACCTCCGCCTGCAGCCGCCCTGGAGCCAGTGCCCACTTACGGTTTGGTGTGTACCCAAACGCCCGCAGCCTCTGTGCAGCTGCCACTGGCTTTTCTCTTTCTTACCAAAGTGCGCCATCTCCGATCTGCTTCTGCCTTTCCCCTCTTCCCTGCTGGCGGCGGCTCAGAGCGCTCAGTGCTCAGGATGCCACAAGGGTTTGGTTTGCAGCTCTCACCGCAGGGGGCGGTGTCTCTCTCTGGCTTCTGACCAGGGTGTATGCAGGGGTGCTCCCTGAGGGTGTCCTTGATGAAGGCGCCCAGGGTCATGTAGAGAGACATCTCACTGTGCCCAGAGGACAGCCACACATCAGTGGCAGGATTGAAAGCACCCCAATCTGTGCATGTCACAAATCCCCTGGGAAGTCATTCCCACAGATTGTGCTGCAGGGTGGGTGTGCGCCTGGGGCGCCTCCTTGCAGAGATGTTTTCCTAGGAGCAACCTCAGGGTGGCCGGCAGCTGCTGCTGCCTGCCGCTCTCAGCTCCCCCGACAGCAGTGGCCTCAGTTTCTTGGTTCTAAAATCCAGGAAATGTGTATCCTGCCGATCCTTGCTTGGGGACCCAGAGGGAGTCGCTGTCTCGGACAATCTTACCAGCTGTTCAGGAGTCCTGTTCTCGGAGCCAGCGCTCCGGCCCGGAGCATCTGTCTGGTCTGTGTCCTGTGGCTCAGGGCAGCCCAGGGCTCTGCGTGCTTCCTTTCACTTCGTTATCTTGGCAACCTGCAGGTCTTCGCGGCCCGGGGCTGGTCTGGCCTGTGGGGCCATGAGGAACCCAGATGTGGGATCATCCGCTCTGGCTGAGCCTTCCAGCGGCTGCCCTCCAGAGCCTGGGCAGTGCTCTCGGCACACTGCGAGCTCTGAGCCTTGGGGCTCCTCCTGCCTTTCTCCACTCTTCTCAGCTGCTCTAGGAACCCCTGGGTGTGGCTCTGCCCGTGGCGGGTAGCCCCCAGAAGGCTGCCTGTGGGAGCCTGACGGTGCGGCGAGGCCTGTGCGAGCGCACGGCAGCTCGGGGCCTGGGCCCGGTCACTGTCTCTCTTGTTCTTCTAGCTCCAGACTCTCCTGCAAGGACAGCGGCTTCGGGAGCACAGCTCGCCTCTTCGAGTGCTCACATTTCTGGCTTGTTTCCAGCCCAGGCATCATCTGGGAACTGAAGCGTTCGGGGGCCTCGGGCAAACCTAGAAGACACTTCGTGCTGTTCTGAAATGAGAGTTTCAGGTGTTTCTGTTTGTTTCCGGCTCTAAGGATTGTGGATGTTGTGAATGTTGCTCACCGTGCCGCAGTTGCAATAAACCTAGAGGAAACCAGTCTCGGGGCCTCCATCGTGCATGACAGGCGTGGTGGCAGCCCCTGCCTTGGGCAGGGGACATGGGGATTCTGTCACCAGGAAGGCTCATCCGTGCCAGAGAGCAGGTGACAGGACCAGCCCCCTGCCGCGCCTTCAGGGTTGCAGAGCTAGTGCAGACTGGTGGACCTGGCTTCCCCTACAGGCCAGTGTGTGCCAGCGCCCCCCCCCCCCCCCCCCCCCGCATGCTCTCGGCTCCCTCAGACCCACTCTCACATACTGAGTGCTCAGCTGACAGGGGGGCTAGGTACGGATGGGGGGGGCTCTTCCTGCCCCCCCTCGACTCCCACCCCCACGCTGCCTGCCACACAGTTTGAAAGGAAAACCATTGAAGAACATGCTGAGGAAGGAAAAAAATGACAAAGCCCTGGCTGGCGCCCTGTCTGCCTTTGTTTCCAGGCAGCTGTGGGTTCAGAGGACCGTGGGATGGAGCCCGGGACATGCCCTACCCGCAGCCCCAGCAGCCTCCCTGCCTCCCTGATGAGGCGCCTGTCTGACCATAGCTTCACCATTCACCGACTTGTTCGTTTACTTATTCATTCACTTCTTCACCAGATCATCTGTTTATTAATTCACCCATTTGTTTTTTACTCTATTCTATTCATCCACCCATTGACTTATCACATAACTTACCAGAACCTTCCCCTTCCCCCTCCTCTCCCTTCCTTCCTCCCTCCCCCTCTGACCTTCCCCTCCTTCCCCTTTCATCCTTCCCTCCTCCCCCTTCCCTTTCCCTGCTCCCCCTCTTGGCCCTCCCCCTCCCCTGTTCTTCCTGCCTCCTCCCGGAAGCCCTCCTCTGCTCTGATTTTTAGCTTCTCCATTCACAGCCATGATTCAAATTCAGAGCAACATCGCAGTCCTTCTGTGCCCTGAGAAGTGTGGCCAGAGACAGCCTAGCCCATGGGGAGCAGTGGGACCTGAGACCAGTTTCCCAGGACACCTGGCCTTCCCGTTATTGTCCCAGGCAACAGCCCTGGTCCCCACTTCCATCCTTATATATGTGAGGCCCCGAGTTTGACCCCAGCTCCTTGTATTCCCCCAGGCACTACTGGGTGGCCCAGGTAACTACATTACCAGGCTCAAACCACACTGAGTATCTCTGGGAATGGCCCTTAGAGCCCCAAGCACCTCTGAGGTTCCCTCCCTGGCCCCCCTCATAGAGAGACAGACAGACAGAGACAAGCCGTGGCTGTTAGTGCCAGCTGCAATCAGGCCTGCTGGGAGCAGCCCCTGCAAATGTTGGCAGGGTGGGGGCTTCCCCCAAGGGTCCGATAGATCCCACAAGGACCGTTGCCTCAGTTCTAGGAGGAGGGGACCCTCCCCTGTAAGATCTGTAGAGTCAGGTCCTGGGGGTCAGGAAAAGTCTGTAGATGGTGTGAGGCAGGGGTCAGCACGCACTGCCCCTCTTGGCTGTGTGGGCCTCCCAGAAGGAGCCCTTAAAAGCAGGTCATGTCTAAGCTCACACACAGGCAGGACCAGGACAGGGCGGGGCGCATCTCCTCCCAGCCAGCTCTGCCCTGTCAGCAATTCCCTCGTCCTGTCGGCCTTTGCCCAGGGAAGGCCAGCTCAGCTCACTTCCTTCCTGCAGAGATGTAGACACCAGGCTTCCGCCCTCTGCCTGCCTCCAGGGGTCCCTACGCTCCCCCCAGGAGGATCAGCAGCTCCCTTGCATGCAGTTCTTGTGCACTGGGAGCTGTAGTGAGAGGCTCCCTCAGACCTGCTCAGTGCTCCCCAAATCCAAGGGAGGCTCCCCAGACTCACAGCTGCTCTCAGCTTTTAGTGTTTTCCATCGTTCCCTCAGGCAGCCAGGTCAGATCTTGGACCTGGGACTGCAGAATCTTTTTTTGTTGTTTTGTTTTTGTCCCACACCCAACCATGCTCAGGGCTTACTCCTTGGCTCTGAACTCAGGAATTGTTCCTGTTGGTGCCCGGGGTGACCATATGGGGTACTGGGGATTGAACCCAGGTTGGCCAGGTGCAAGGCCAGCGCTCTGGCCACAGAATCAATTTTATTTGAAGGATTGTGTGGGGCCACACCTGGCAGTGGTCAGGGCACCTTCCTGGTTTTGTGCTCAGGATGACTCCTGGAGGGGATGGGGACCCCTGTGTGGTGCTGGGGATCAAACTCAGAATCTCGGACCTGGGGCTGGAGTACAGTGGGTTTACCTTACACGCAGGTCACCTGGGTTGATCCCCTGAGCACCTCCAGGAGTAACCCCTGGGTGTGACATCACTGGGTGTGACCCCAAAAGCCAAGGAAAAAAAGCCCCTGGGGTTCAAACTCAGTATCTCCGGCCTGTGCTCCACTTCTTGGGCTGCTGCATTTGTAGTGTTTGTACGAGAGAGAACTACACCCAACCCACATGGCCCGGGGGGACCTGTCTGATTCATCAGTACCCACTGGCCCCCGGAACCCCCTGCCCAGACCCTCGATGAGTCCTTAGTCGGAACACCAAGTCAATCTCGTTCAGTCTCAGTTCTGTGAGGCTGCCCTGAGGCTGCTACCCTATATGGAGGGCTGCCTGGAGGAGGGAAGAGAGAGACAGGAATGAACAGAAGCATGCCAGGCTGAGAAGTGGAAGAACTGATGGCAGATGCCTGGATTGTGGGCGATGCCAGCATTTGAGTGCGGATGGATGGACGGACGGATGAGGGTGTCCTCCTGTGGTCCACCCACTAGTCTGCATCCAGCGCCGGACAATAGGTCCCTGCCACGTGCACCCGCAGACACTGCCACAGCCTGGGCACCGGACATGTTCCTCCCCCACAAGCACAGTCGGTGCCAGCATGCGAGTCTCTCCGTGCGCGCGGTGGCAGCGTAGTCGCCTCCCAGGTCTCCTATAGGGCCGCAGGATGCAGACTCAGGAAGTAACTGTTTCCGTTCTGCTGGGGGCTGGAGGAAGGAGGAGAGCGGAGGGCGGAGATGGGCCTCTCAGGGCCCTGCGCCAAGGAATCAGGACAGTGCTGCACCCGGGCCGTGTGCCCAGGGCGGGCCATAGGACAGCAGGGAGGCACTGGCCTTGCATGCAGTTGGCTTGGGGTTCCTCCATGTCACCACACAGGGTCCCCAAGCACCATCAGGAGTGATCCCTGATCACTGCTGGATGTGGCCCCAAAACCAAATAGGATCTGATATCAGGCCAAGGAGGGGTCCAGCACACTGTCCCCCCACTCCCTGTGCTTTCGAGCTGGGTGAATATGGGGCCCCAGTTTGGGGTAGGAGCAGAGGCAGACAGACATACGCTGTCTTGAGATCAAGTGTATGTGTGTGTGTGTGTGTGTAGGGGGAGGTGTTGAAGAACTCTGGGAAGGCTTCCTGGAGGAGGGAATGTAATTTCAAGTCATCTGTGGAGTCAGGTACAAACCTCAGAGAGAGATACTGGAGAAATAAAACAGAGGTCAGGGCACTTGCCTTGCACACGGCCAACCTTGGGTTGATTCCTGGCGTTCCCTATGGTCCTCTAAACTCCTCAGAAATGATCCCTGAGCACAGAGCCAGGAGTAAGCCCTGAGCACTGCTGATGTGGCAAAAAAAAAAAAAAGCTCAGAGAGAGGTCTGGTCCAGGTGCAGAGCTCATGCGCAGGTGCACACACAGCTCAGGGGCACCAGATGCAGAGCTCAAGATTGGGTGCAGAGTTCAAGGCCAGATGCAGAGCTCAGGGGGGCGGGTGCAGAGCTCAAGGCTGGGTGCAGAGCTCTGGGGGGCCGGGCGCAAAAATCAGGGCTGGGTGCTGCCCACTTCCAGCAACCACCAGCAGCTCAATTCTCTGGGGAGCCTCCTGGGAGCCCCAGGGCCTGCCAGAGTAGAAAGTGAACAGCACAACCTTGAGGAGGTATAAGGAGGGCCCAGCAAGGGCCATCTGAGGGGCCCCTGCCAGATGACCTAGGGTATAAGCTCCCGCATGAGTCACCCTTGTCCCTGCTCCGGCCGCCCACAAGCACCGGCCCCCGGAGCCCCCCAGTGCCGCCTCCCCCTGGCTCCCGCTCCCGGTTGGCAGCTGCTCCTTGGAGGCCGCAGAAGGAGAGTAGGAGGGGCGGGTGCCGAGGGGGCCGTGCAGGCTGCTCGGCCAGAAATCTGGAGCTGGCAGCAGGCCGGAGTGGCGTGGGGCTTGTCCGTGCCAGGGGGGAAACTGAGGCTCAAGGAGGGGAGGGTCTGCAGCCCTCTGGCCTGCTGCATACGTCTGAGTGGTCCCCTCAGAACTGAGCCGCCCCCCCCACCTCCACGCCCGCCTGGCAGCAGGATCCCTCAGCATCCCAGCTGGTAGGTGGAGTCACGTTCCCACACCCCAATCTGTGCCACCATGTACCCTGGGTCAGACCAGGCTGCCCAGCCCCATGGGGCCCTGCTCCAGGGGACACCCAGACCAAGCCCAAGTGGTCAGCGTCCCTCTGGCTGTGGCCGCAATTTCTCGCCCCATTTTCTGCCCTTCACACGCCACGTAACAGAGCCTTCAAGGACACCGCAGCCAAAAATAATCGGGCGACCTAGCTCCGAAGTGGGGCAGCCCCGCCCAGCCACCTAGCCCCCATGGTGAGGATAATTAGTGTGGGGGCCCACCAGGGTAATTAGGTCTGTGCAGCAAACTGAGCATCCAGATTGGGGGGATGCCTCTAGGGTCCCCACCCCCCACCCCACTTTCCTACCTTCCAACCTGTCCAGGTCCTGACACCGCAGATGTGTCCAGCCCTCGCCACAGCCCCTTCAAGCCTGACGCATCCAGGTGGCCCAGGGGCTCATTCATTTGTTAACTAGCTCTTGGCTTTGGGTGAAAGTTGTGTAGCATCTAAATTGGGTGAATTTCAAGAGATGAGGAACCCACCCAGATGGGGTTATTCATCTCTCTGGTCTGAAGGAAGAGGAAAGAGGGTGTCTCGCCTACCCAGATCCTAGGCTGGGACAGTCTTGGGAAGTTAGTAGCCTTCTCAGTGAAGAGGGCATTGCTGATGGGGCTTTGCAGGGTGAATAAGAGTTTGCCTCTATGAGGTTAAATTCTGGTGACTGACTCAACTGATATGACTGGGTGTATGGGAACAAGTATGGCTGAAAGGCTGAAGAAGCAGCCAAAGGACCCAGCGTTGAAGATGCACAGACTTATAGGAGGTCAGACCCATTTCTGTCCTTCTTTTGAGAGAACATGGGGGTTGGGACACACCCAGCTGTACTCAAAGGCTATTCCTGGCTCAGGGGACCATATGCTAAAAACTGGGGTCTTTGGGATATAAGGCAGGTGTCATAAGCCCCGTGCTATGTCTCCGGCCCCATTTCTGCTCTTAAGAGTCTTACCACTGAGTGGGTTGGAGCATGAGACAGCGGAGAAGCACCTTGCATGGGAGCACCTGGGGATTGATCCTTAGCACACATGTGATGGGAGTGCTCAGCCCTCAGGCAAACCCAGGGCCCCTGGCCCGGTGAGGGTGGTCTGTATACATCCCTGTATCCCCAGTGCCTTGGAAGAGAATAGAGACCCATCCCTGTCTACACCCAAGGATGCCTTGCTGTAGTCCCGTGGTCCCCCTCACCTCTTCCCTCCACCTTTGACCACTGTCCAGCTGAAAGCCTCTGCCTCGGGGGTAGTTGGGGCTGCAACAGCCCCGGACCATGCTGCCTCCCTCCTGCTGTAGCCTCAGGGAGATCTGCCCACCAGGTCTGTCCCTGCCCACCTGGAAGGGCCTCAGAGCCCTGTGGTCAGCCTATGATCTTTTCTCCACGTGGCTTCCAGAAGCTTCGACCTTGCTGGCACCTTTCCAGTTACTTTTTTTTTTTAATGATTTTTTTTTTTTTTTTTTTTTGGTAAAAAGGAAAAGTCACTTCACACAGAACAGACGGTATTTGCTTTGTTCCCGCAGTGCTCGGTGTTCTGTGGCTTCGGGCCTGAGCTCCCAGCCAAGTCCTAGGCTGGGACAGATGTCTAGAGAAATTAGTAGCCTCAGTTTCCCCTGTCATGCTGAGAGGTGTGTGGTGACAGACTAGGGCTCCAGACCACCCAAGTAATGGACAGGTAAGAGATGGGGGCCAAGAGGAAGGAGAGGGAGCTGGAAGGAGAGGAGGGTTCTGATGGTCAAGAGGTATGGCCGGTAGGGCTTTGGGGACCATCAGTGGAGGGCAGTGGCCCCAGGAACGGCTTGGTGCCTGGACCAAGACACCTGAAACCAGTCACGAACATCTTTGAAACTCTGTGATTCCCAGTGATTTCATTGAAAAAAAGAGGTGGGGTTCCGGTTGCCTGGGTCTAGACCCTCCATGCAGGGCCCCGGCTTGTCCCCATGGGAACAGAAATAAAGGCAGGGAAAGGGGAGGGAAAACGAACGAGGGGGTGGGAAATCAGAGGGGAGACTGGAGGGCTGGAATGAGGAGGGGAGCTGCGGTGCACCAGCTCCAGGGAACCCGGGCCTCTACGGCTCAAGGCCAGCCGCAGGAGCAGCGGGGAGCCCCAGGAGTCCAAAGTTTTGTGTTTCTTTGAGGGGGGTTTTGGGGCCACACCCAGTAGTGCTCAGAGCTCACGCTTGGTTCCTGGGGAACTGGGCGATCATACGGGGCTCCGGGGATCCAACCCTGCGGGGCGTGCAAGGCGTTCGCCCAGGGCCCCCAGCACCCCCGGGCTCCACCCGCTCGGTGGGATGGCAGTCAGTCCCCCACTTTCCACCTACGGACCAGTCCTAAGCCTGGGGCAGGGCTGCGACTCGCGCCGGCCGTCGGTTCCGCTCAGCGCCCACCGTTTGCGCGCCGCGGCTGCGTGCCAGCCCCGGCCGCACCCCGCGCCCCCCACCACGGGGCGGAGGGGCTGGTGGGCGGTGGGCGCCGCGGCCGGCAGGGGGCGCTGCGGCCGGCGCGGGGGAGGGGCGGCGGCGGCCGCGATGGGACCGGAGGCGGCGCGGGCGGCGGCGGCGGCGCAGACAAAGGCGCGGGCGGCGCGGAGGGCGCTGGCCCCGGAGCCAGCAGCGGGCGCGGGGCTGCGCGGAGCCGGCGCCGGGGGCCGCACCCCGGGCGCGCGCGGACACTCGCGGGGCGCCGAGCCCTCAGGGTGAGCCCAGCGCGCCGACGGCAGCCGGGCGTGCGCGGGGGACCCCGAAGTTCCAGGGGCCGGAGGGGGAAAGGAGTGGGGTGCCCCGAAGTTCTGGGCGCGGAGGCGGCGGGGAGGGTGCGGCGCGCCGAGCCCCGAAGTTGCAGGATTGGCCGAGGCTGCGCGGGAGCCCAGAAGTTCCGGAGTCCCGGAGGGCGCCACGGGGGCAAGGGGTCCCCGAAGTCCCGCACCCTTCCTTGGAGGAGGTGGCGACGGTGTCCCCGGAGGTCCGGATTTGGGGTCCGGGAGCAGGGCGGCCCCGAAATTCCTTTCCCGGCGCCGGGAAGGTGGCAGGGGAACCCGAAGTTCAGGAGTTGGGGACCGCGCGGAGAATCCCGAAGTTCAGCGTCTGGGGCGGCCGGCGGCCGGCAGGAGGGCGTCCCCGAGCTTCTGCATCCGGAGCCGGGGCTGTTGTGGGGGCTCTCGGGAGCGGCCCCGGCGGCTCGGCCCCCCCAGCCGGAGCCCCGCGCCTCGGAAGCGCATGACGAGCCGGTGAGTAACTTTCCCGGCCGCGCTCCTGCAAGTCCCGGCAGGCGCCTCGGGCTGGAGGGCCGGAGTTCCGGGGACCCCGCGCCCAGGCTCGGGCTCAGACCCCGGGGCTGCGCCGGAGCTGCCCGTCAGGAGGAAGGGGTGGGCACCCCGCACCCCCTGGCCAGCGGCCGCTCCTTTCTCGCTCTGCCTTCTCGCCCCACATTCTTCCTGGTCTTCTTAGATCCCTGATGTGTGTTTGGGGTTCTTTGGTCTGTGGGAGAGAGAGACCGAAGGGCCTCCTGGCCTCCCGGACTGGGGTGGGTGTCAGCAGGATCTGGGTGAGGAGGGCGCCCCCACTACCCTTTTGGCCTCCTTTAGTTTGTTTTTTGGTTGGGGGGGACACACCCAGCGTGCTCAGAGGTCACCCCTGGCAGGGCTTGGGGAACTCTTTGGGGGGTCCTGGGTGCGAGCTAGCCCCTTCCGCCTCACTGTCACCCCAGCCCAACCCCGTATGGTCTTTGCAGGGCGCTGGCAGCTCCCTGGCCTTGACCCCACGAAGGCCTGTGCCCTGAAGTAGACATTGGGGTCTCTCTGTGACTCCCAGGAGGGAGCCTGTGAACCTGCTGTGAGCCCGACAGGCACCTGTTTGTACCCCACTTTATTTTCTCTCCCTCTCTTGATTTGGGGCCACTCCAGGCCCAGTGCTTGGGGGATCCCACAGGGCCAGGGCTTGAACCCGGGGCTCTGACATACAAAGCCTGCACCCCAGCTCTGAGCCAGCTTTCCACCCAGTACCCTACTTTCAGAGGGAGTCGTGGCTCGGGGAGTGAGGAGGGTGTGTGGGAGCTCAGATGCCCCTGGGGGAATGTCTGTGCTTGGACGCCAGGGTCAGCTGACGCCCCTCCTGAGTCATTTTGGGCTTTCTTGCAGGTGTGCGGGTGTGCAGTCTTTTTCCTGGGGTGCCCTGACTCCCTCCCTCCTTTTATAGGGGTGTGTGGATGGCCAAGCTGGTGCCACCCCCACGAGTCTGTGCTTGGTAACGTCCGACGTGTCTGCGCTGGACATTCACGCCCCGGCTCCTTGCAGGACGTAGCGGCAGCCTGGCCTTCCCTCCGCCCGACCCAGCCTGACCAATGTCCACAGCCAGGTGAGTGCCCGGTAACCCGCCTGGGCCTGAGTCCCCTGTGGGGAGCTCTGCCCACTGCTGAGCTCCTGTTCCCCCCCTCCCCGCAGGGAACAGCCCATCTTCAGCACGCGGGCACATGTGTTCCAGATCGACCCGGCCACCAAGCGGAACTGGGTCCCCGCATGCAAGCACCCCGTCACCGTCTCCTACTTCTACGATGCAGCGCGCAGTGTCTACCGCATCATTAGCATCGGAGGCGCCAAGGTGCCGGGGGGGACTGCTGGGGGGCGTGGGGAGGCCTGGGGGGGGCAGTGCTGACCTTTCTGCTCTAGGCACCCTCCTGGAATGACTCAGCACCTCAGCGGTGCTCACATGGAGAGTGCCGGGGACGGGCAGGGTTCTGTGCTCACTGACCAGCCCTCTCTGTTACCCTTTCCCAGGCCATCATCAACAGCACCATCACCCCCAACATGACCTTCACCAAAACCTCGCAGAAGTTTGGGCAGTGGGCGGACAGCCGCGCCAACACAGTCTATGGCCTCGGCTTCGCTTCCGAGCAGCATCTGACACAGGTGGGCTTGGGGGGAGACTAGGGAGCACAGGATCGCACCTGCGTTTCCTGGGGCAGTGTCAGGCCTCCGTCCTCCCAGCTGCCGTGGGGCTGAGGGACCAGAGGAAACCCTCCCTGGAGCCTTCCCCAGGACCCGGTCTGCATGCCGATACTGTCCTGTCCACAGTTGGAAAAGGCCAGGAGGTAGCGTAGGGATGAAGGTGCTTGCATGTGCTAACTCCAGTTTGGTCCCTGGCACCATATATGGTCTCCTGGGTACCACCAGCAGTGAACCCTGAGCACCCTGGAGGTGATACCCCCCAAATCAAAAGAAACAAAGTGTACATTTTTATTTATTTATTTTGCTTTTTGGGTCACACTCAGCCAAGCACAGGGGTTACTCCTGACTCATGCACTCAGGAATTACTCCTAGCGGTGCTCAGGGGACCATGTGGGATGCTGGGAATTGAACCTGGGTTAGCCACGTGCAGGGCAAACGCCCTGCCCGCTGTGCTATTGCTCCAGCCCCTGAAGTTTCTTTGTCCCCTAAGTATTTCACAGGCCACACCTAGCTATGCTCAGGGCTGACTCCTGACTCTGAGTTTACAGATCGCTCCTGGTAGGGCTTGGAGGACCATATGGGGTTCCAGGGATCAAACTCTGTTCAAATGCATGCAAGGCAAGGCCCTACCCATGGTACTATCTCTCCGGGCTCTAGCCCCTAAATATTTTTTTAAAAATTATTTTCTAGGAGGGACAGAGTGATAGTATGTCAGACAGGGCATTTGCCTTGCATGTAGCCAACCCAGGTTTTACCTCATATGGATCTCCGAGCACTGCCAGGAGTAATTCCTAAGTGCAGAGCCAGGAATAACCCCCAAACATCACTTGGTATGGCCCAAGAGTGAACAAACAAAAATTTTTCTACAGCCAGAGAAATAGCACGGAGGTTATGTCATTTGCCTTGCTTGTGCTGACAGTCTCTATCCCCATTCATACACAGCCCCGGAGTGCCACCAGAAGTGGTGCCCACCACCACCACCCCAGCCCCCCTGCCCTGAGCACAGAACCAGAAATAGCATCTGACTATTGCTAAGTGTGGCTGCAAAACAAAAAACTATATTCCAGAGGCTAGGATTAGGCTCAGCGGTGCATGCATGAGACCCAGGGTCGCTACTTCAGGCCCCAAATATATCCAGGGATGTAGAGAAAGTTCAATGTTTTTGTTTTGTTTTGTTTTTGCTTTTTGGGTCAAACCCAGCGATGCACAGGGGTTACTCCTGGTTCAGAACTCAGGAATTACTCCTGGCCGTGCTCAGGGGACCATATGGGATGCTGAGACTCAAACCCGGGTCAGCCACGTGCAAGGCAAACGCCCTACCCGCTGTGCTATCACTCTAGTCCCTAAAGTTCAATGTTTTTGGTGCAGGCTTTGCATGCAGGCAACCTGGCTTTACTCCCTGGCACCTGCATGGTCTCCAGAGCACTGCAGGGAGGAATCTCCAAGCACAGAGCCTGAAGCTCCCAAGGATTGCCAGGTGGGGCCCCAAATCAAAACAGTGATTTCTCAATACAGAAAATTATTTATTTCCTTTTGGGGCCACACCTGGCAGTGCTCAGGGCTTACTTCTGGCGCTGCACTTAGGAATCAACTCTAGGTTGGTCGTGTGCAAGGCAAGCCCCCTTTCCACGTGCTTTCTCTTTGGCCCAGTGCAAGAAATTTATTTTACATTGCAAAGGAAAGCTCAGCAGGCTGGGAACTATCAGGAATGGCTTCTGAGCACAGAGCTGGGAGAAACCCTCCAATACCACCACAGGTGTGGCCCAGAAGAAAAAAGCAAGAACAAAAAGCAAAGCTGGGCCGGAGAGATAGGATGGTAGGTAGGGCGCTTGCCTTACATGTGGCCAACCCGGGTTCGATCCCCAGCATCCCATATGGTCTCCCCAGCACCGCCAGGAGTAATTCCTGAGTGCAGAGCCAGGAGTAACCCCTGTGCATCTCGCCGAGTGTGACCCAAAAAGCCAAAAAAAAAAGGGGGGGTGCTGGAGCGATAGTACAGTGGGTAGGTAGGGCGTTTGTCTTGCACGCAGCTGACCCGGGTTCGAATCCCAGCATCCATTATGATCTCCCAAGCACCGCCAGGAGTAATTCCTGAGTAGTGCATGAGCTAGGAGTAACCCCTGTGCATTGCCGGGTGTGACCCAAAAAGCAAAAAAAAAAAAAGGAAAAAGAAAAGGCAAAGCTGGGCTGGAGAGATAGGATGGCAGGTAAAGCGCTTGCCTTGCACATGGCCGACCCGTGTTCAATCCCTAACCCCTCCTAGGGTCCCCTGAGCACAGAGCCAGGAGTCATTCCTGAGTGCCACCAAGAATGGCCCACCCCACTCCAAACCTCCAAAGTGTTGGAAGAGCGAAGTCCACCCCAGTTACTCAGACACTGAAAAAGCAGATTTTTCTTTTTATTAATTTTGGGCCACGCCAAGGGTGCTCAGGGCTTAGTTCAAGCAGGCTCTAGGGACTATGTGAGGTGTCGGGGATCCAATCTGGGTCAGCTGCATGCAGGGCAAATGCCCTCCTTGCTGTGCTACGGCTCTGGAACTGAGGGGGGTGGCAGCCCCTGTGCTCTGTGGGGAGGGGCTTGTAGAGGCTTCAGTTACTGTGGGGGGGGGGGAGCACACCTCGCTGCTCCTTGTTAAAGGATGCCCTTTAACAAGGACAGGATGGGGGACACGTTTCTGCAGAGACATGATGCTGGGCCCTCTGGGAATACCCACCCCTGCTACCCCGCCTCCTTCCTCATTTCCATAGTCCTTCCAAGGGTGCCTTCCAGAACTCCAGGGCCTGTGCTGGGGTAGAGGGGGTCATGGGGTGACCTGCTGCTCAGTGCGTATTTGCCCTCAGTTTGCTGAGAAATTCCAGGAGGTGAAGGAGGCCGCCAAGCTAGCCCGCGAGAAGTCTCAGGATGGTGGGGAGCTCACGAGTCCCGCCCTGGGGCTCCCGGCCCACCAGGTGAGTGCCTGCAGGCATGTGGATGAAACTGGGGGGCTGGTGTCAGGGTCCTCCGCTCACAGAGGACTCAGGCCTCTGGCGGGGCTCCTAGGGAGGGGACCAGGAGGGCAGAAATGCAGTCTTCCGGGTGGACCCCGCTGACCGGAAATGGCTGAGGAGGAAGTGGGCCCCACTGAAGGGCCAGGCTATAGTGACCCTGGATTGGTCAGTGGGGTTAAAGCATCACAGAGCTCCCTCCTGCGGGCCGCGCCGGGCAGCCAAGTGAGGGGAAAAGGCCCCTGCGCCCTCCGTCCGACCCTCAGCTTTGACTCCACAGTTTCTTTCCTTTTGGTTCTGAACCACACTCGGGGTTGCTCAGGGGCTGCTCCTCAAGTTCGGGCTCCGGGGCTCCTGATCAGCCCTCAAGTCACTCCCTGCGTGACCTCGCTTCTGCCCCCGCCCTTAGGTGCCCCCGAGTCCCTTAGTCAGTGCCAATGGCCCCGGCGACGAGAAGCTGTTCCGCAGCCAGAGCGCAGATGCCCCGGGCCCTGCGGAGCGCGAGCGCCTCAAGAAGATGCTGTCTGAGGGGTGAGGGTCGCGGCGAGGGCCAGCGCCAGGTTGCGGGGGAGGCGCGGGTGGTGGACCGCGACCCCCCTCACTCCTCCGGACTGCCCCCATCTGGGGCCGACCACCACCCAGCATTCCCACTGTGCTCGCGGGGCTGAGCCTGGCCTCCGGACACACCGCCCCCCAGTGGAGGCTGAGGGATCCTGGCTCCGCCCCGCCACGCCCCCACCCGTCTGACCACGCCCTTCCGTATGGCCCCTCCCACCACTAGCCTGTCCTAACCGTATATAGGAGGCCACGCCTCTTTCAGCATGTCACCGCCCATCGGTTTCCCCGCCTAATCAGGCCACGCCCCTTATTGCACCTCAGTCCACCCTTAGACCGACCCCGCCCATGTACTGAGAGACCACGCCCCCTACATATAGCCACCCGTCAGTGCCCCGCCCCCAACCGACCATGCCCAACACCGCCCAGTCCTGGTTAGCCAAGTCCTTCTGGGTACCCTCTCCCCTGCCCCTGCCCGGCACCTCTTCCCCTTGTGGTCACTGATGCCCAGTGGGTGCTTGGGGCCCGCAGCTCGGTGGGCGAGATGCAGTGGGAGGCCGAATTCTTCGCGCTGCAGGACAGCAACAACAAGTTGGCGGGCGCCCTACGAGAGGCCAACGCGGCCGCTGCCCAGTGGAGGCAGCAGCTGGAGGCCCAGCGCGCAGAGGCCGAGCGGCTGCGGCAGCGGGTGAGGGGCCCTTCCCCACCCCCCACCCCAGCTCTCGAACCCGAGTGATGAGCGGCTGGGGAGCCCCTGCCTTGGGACCCTGCCCCTGGCTTTCTGTATCGCTCAGCTGGGCTTCCTCCTCCGCAGGTGGCCGAGCTGGAGGCCCAGGTGCCTGCGGAGCCGCCTGCGAGCGAGAAAGAAGGGCCAGGCCAGTCGCTGGAGCAACTGGAAGTGCTGGTGCAGACCAAGGACCAGGTAAGCGCTGGCGTGTGAGCGCTCCCCACCCCCCATTGACAGGGAGGAGCCTGGACTCCCCAGAACAGACCCGGAAACTCTTCTCTAGGAGATCCAGACGTTGAAGAGCCAAACCGGAGGCTCGCGTGAGACCCCAGACGCCACCGAGCGGGAGGAGATGCAGCAGAAAATGCAGGTGTGCCTCAGTTTCCCCACCTGTGGATGGGGTCGTGGGGGGTGGTGGAGGCTGTCTCCCGCCCTCCGGGTGTTTTCCAGCAGTACCTTGTCACGGCCTACACGTCAGTGTGGGGGTAGGAGCCTGCCCGAGTCGTTCCACTGGCCTGGCTCACACTGGCCTTTCGAGAACCTTCCGTCAGCACCTTCTGTGGCGTTCGGCGGGTCCACCCAGCACGTGTAAGCCCCAACCGCGCCTGTTCTCCCTCCAGGACCTGCAGGCGCGCAGCCTGGAGCTGGAGCACCAGCTGCGGGCCATGGAGCGGCGGCTGGAGGAGACGCGGGCCGAGCGGGAGCGCGCGCGCGCCGAGGTGGGCCGGGCGGCGCAGCTGCTGGACGTGCGGCTCTTCGAGCTCAGCGAGCTGCGGGAGGGCCTGGCCCGCCTGGCCGAGGGCGCCCCGTGACGGGCGGAAGCTGCCCGCGCCTGCACCGCACCCAGGAGGCTGCGGGGGCTGGTTCTGCGCTTGCTTCCAACGTGCAATGTCTAAACCCCGGGGCCCAAGGGGCACCCAGATTACATTTCTAAGAGCGGCTGTGTGTGTGTGTGTGTTTGTGTTTGGGGGTTGCCCTCACCCCTCATCTTGACTGTTTGCGGCGGGCTGAGGCTCAGGAAACTGCACCAAGTGGCATCTGGTCAGGCTCCCCCACGCTCGGCCGTTTATCCCAGTGCAGGGCTTCCAGCGGTGGTGGTGTGGGGACCAAGCACAACACGCTGGTCCCTAGCTCCACCTTTATGGAAACTGAGTCCTGGCTCCTGGCAGCATGTCTGAAGCGCGGCTGGGCTCTCCCAGAGTCAGAGACCACCCACGTACAAACACCTGTGGTTTATTGCGATCCTCCCGGGTGCCGCTATCCCCAAACGGACCCGGGCTGTGTCACCTGCCCGGCTGGCTTGGGGGTGTTGTGGGGGACGCAGGAAGGACACAGTGGTGCCTGCGCACAGCCTCAGGGATCTCAGGGGGGGATGGGGGCTGTGGGGTCAGGGCGGAGCTTGGGTGGGGTCAGGGGCTGGGGCCGAGGGAGGGCGCCCGCGGCCCCCCTTCTTCTGCAGCGTCTTCTCCACCTTCTCCTTGAAGCGCCGATTCTTCTGCTTGATCTTGGCAAGCTCAGCTTTGCGCTTGGCCTCCAGGTCGGGGTCCTGGTGGGGAAGAGCGGCCGCAAGGGCACTGTGCAGAGACGGTCCCCCGACCCCCTCTGGCACCCAGGTCACTCACCTTCCCCTCCAGGATCAGCTGCTTCCGCTTGTTGATCTCCTTCTTCTGGTCAAAGTTGGCCGCCTCCAGTTTCTGGCAGAGAGGGAAGGCAGAGGCCGTGAGGGGAGCCCCGGGATGGAGGGCACCCGCGTGCAGTCCAGCGCCCCCCACTCACAATCTCACACTCGCGCCGCGTCACATTGACCTGAGTGAGGATCTGCAGCACTTCGGCCTCCTCCACCTCCAGCTCCTCCAGCTTCTTTTCTGGGGCAGGGGTGGAGGGGTGTCAAGCCAGGTCACTCAAGGTCACGGGGTCAGGCGGGGGAGGTTTGGGGATGCGTCTGGCTGCAGGGTCAAACCCCCTCCCCACCCACGAGGGGCTGCCTGTGCTGATCCTGAGCCCAGGGGACCTCAGCACCTCCCCCCAACTCACTGATCTGCTCCTCGATGGCATGCACCAAGTGGATGTCATACTGGGTCACCAGCGTGATGGCCTGGCCCTGTCGACCTGCGGGAAGCACACAATGAGGGCAGGTCCTAAGCAGCTGTGCGTCCAGGGACCGGGTGCCCCGCCCCACCACAGGGTCTCCCACTCGGCAGGCAGCCTCAGCTTCCGGCCTCACCAGGTGACTCAGGCTGAGGGTTCCTCAGCTCTGGGGCACCCCTGTCCCACTACACAGGCCCAGAGCAGTAGAGACAGGCAGGGCCAGTCCATCTCAGCGTACCTGTCTGTCCCCACCCAGGAGGGGACAATCCCTAGGGGTTGCCCTCAGTCCCCATCCCCCTGCCAAACCTTATGGTGGCAGGTGCATCCACAGACTCCACACTCCAGGGGCACCATGTCATGCAGCGGGCACCCGACTCCCGTGGAGAAGCTGGGGACACCCCACCTGGCTTTTCAAATGAGGTTCCCGCCCACAGGCCCACCCGCCACTGACCTGCACGGGCCGTGCGGCCAACGCGATGGATATATATCTTGGGGAGCCCGGGGGTGTTGTGGTTGATGACCACCTGCACCGTGGGGATGTCCAGGCCCCTGGAGGAGAGGTTGATCAGTGCCACAGACTATGCAGGGAAACTGAGGTAGGATCTGCCCAGGTTGCTCACCGGGAGGCCACATCAGTGGCGATCAGAATCCGGTAGATGCTGGACTTGAACTTGGCCAGGGCAGCAAAGCGCTCCTTCTGCAGCAGAAAGGCGGCTGGTCAGCCCGGCGGCGAGGGCTCCCATCACCCACTCAGGCCAGGAGGGGTCATTTTGGCAGAGGCTAGGGGGTCACCCAGACAAATGGCAAAGGGGTAGCAGCTCAGAGGGACACTGGGCAGGGCCCCCCGCCCCCACCTGCTTCATCATGGAGTGCAGGGCCACTGTGGGGAAGCCGAACTTCCGGAGCATCATGCACAGGATCTGGCAGGTCCTGGGGGCAGGAGGCAGGGGTGGAAGCAGAGGTCTCAGCCTAAGTCCCTGTGAGCAGCCCCTCCAAAGGGGGCGGCTGGGCCCGTGGGGGAGGAGCCAGACTCACTTGCACGTGCTGGTGAAAATGATGATGGCCCAGTCCTCATGCGCATCCTGGAAGCGCTGGATGAGGTGCACCAGGTACGCGTCCTTGACCCTCTCGGGTACCAGCAGGTAGCGCTGGTCCAGCTGCTCCACTGTGGACACCCTGGGGGATGGCATGGCCAACTGTCCCTTCCGTGGCCCGTTCCCATCCCCACCCCCCGCCCTGGCCCCCAGCCCGCACTCACGGAGCCTGAGCCTCCCAGAAGAAGGGCTGGTTGGTGGCCAGACCTTGCAGTTCCCTGAGTGTGTCGGTGAGCGTGGCGCTGAACAGCAGCGTCTGCCTGCGCGCCGGCACCGCCGCCAGGATGACCTCCAGGTCTGCCGTGAAGTCGGTACAGCCTTGCTCCAGAAGCCGGTCGGCCTCATCCATCACCTAACAGCGCAGTGGGGGGAGGCGGGTGAGTGCGGCCAGCCCACCCCTCCCCTGCCCCCAATTCTGTGCTAGCCTCCCACCCCTCACGCCTTCTTGAGTAGTCTCTGGGCTCATGCCAGCCTAGATGGACCTACAGTCCAGGCTACACACCAGGAACTGGATCTTCTTAATGCTGAAGGTGTTGGAGCTGCGGAGGTGGTCAGCCAGGCGCCCTGGCGTGGCGATGACCACGTGGGGCTTGCGGGACAGCTCCAAGGCCTGTGCCACCATGTCTGCAGGCAAAAGGAGGACAAGTGAGAGACAGGGTGGCGAGGGACCAGTCTGCAGGGTCCCCAGCCCAGGGCCACCGGCACCCCCATACCCATGCCGCCGACGATGATGCAATCTTTCAGGCCCAGAGGCTTCCCCAGGACGCGGAACTGCTCAGCAATCTGATAAGCCAGTTCCCTGTGGAGGCGAGGGGCCGGCTTGGGTCAGACAGGGATTAAGATGGCCCTACTCCCTTCTACACCAATTCTCCTAACTTGCCCTCTCCTGTTCCCAGCCCCCATTTATGGACAAGAGCTGTCATTGTGTGCAGGGGGGCCACTGCCCCCAATCTGGCCTCTCCATTCATGCCACCACACTCATCCTCAGAGCCTGAGCCCCCACCGTCAATTTCCCTCCTGCTCCCAGCTTTCCCCCACTCCCGCTCAAGCCTTTGCCAGACCTTCACTGACGCTTCATCAGACGCCCTTCCCCCACACACCCTCCAAGCAGCCGGTACCGGCCCCTCCTATCCCCACTACCTTTGTTGCGCCAGCCTCCACACCGGGCAACTTCGGAGCGAGATGTGACTGTGACTTTCACAAAAAAAGCAGCTTCTCTCCCCATTTCACACACCCGTCCCTGTGGTTCTGACAGCTGAAGATGTTTGCCCAAGAGAACACAGCAAGAACGGACGGCGTGGGAGGGGGTTGTCTCACCTGGTAGGCGTCAGGACGAGGCAGAAGATGCCATAGGGGTCCTCCGACAGCTTCTGCAAGATGGGCAGGACAAAGGCTGCCGTCTTGCCACTGCCCGTTTTGGCACATCCCAGGCAGTCCCGACCTGGGCACGAAGCAAAACATCGTCGACAGGACGCAGACGCGGTCCGCAATCCCTGCGATCAGCACGGCGAGACCTGCCACATCTAACCGTTCCTCAAGCCCACCCAGTGCTCCCAGATCAAGATTCAGACATTCTGCAGGGACACACGGCGAGTCAGTCGTTCACCATGAATGTCGCCACTGAGAATTGGGCTTGCCCCTACCGCCTCGCAGGGTCGGCTGGGACGAGGAAAGAGAGGAGGAAAGCTGGGGGTGGGTAGCGAAGGCGACGTGTCCTGAGTCCACTCACCCTCCAGAATGGCGGGGATGCAGCCGAGCTGCACGGGCGTGGGCTGCTTCAAACCTAGCTGGTGACACTGTTTCACCAGCCACGATGACAGCCCGAGCTCCTCGAAGCCGGCCATGCTCGCCGCCAGCTGAGGGAAAGGAGGCGTGGAGCCACGCTTCCGGCGCGTGCCGATGACGACACGGAAAGCCTCGCGTTTATTGGGCTTCCTAAGAGGTCCCGCCCACCTCTCGCCGCTTTTCCCTGAATCTCATTGGCTCACTGCATCGTCCAACTACAACTCCCGAGACGGCCTGCGAGACTCACGTGCGTCACCGGTCAGGGCCTCTCATTGGCTCACCGCTACAACCGGAGACCAAGTAAACTACATCTCCCGACATGCCCCGCGGTGGCACCCGCTTCCGTCCTACGTGTCCCTCCGGAAGCAGGAAGCAGACGGCTGCGACATGGCGCCCCCGGCCCCAGGCCCGGCCGCCGGCGGCTCCGGGGATGTGGACGAGCTGTTCGACGTGAAGAACGCCTTCTACATCGGCAGCTACCAGCAGTGCATCAATGAGGCGCAGCGGGTGAAGGTGCGGGTGCCCGGGGGCGGGGCGGGGCGCTCCGGTTTCGGAGACGCCCCCTTCTCGTCGCCTGCTGGACGCCGTAAGCGTTCGGAACGCCCCACCTCGGCGGGCGTTTGTTCCTCTGGAGCCCCCATATGTGGCATTGGCTCAGTGCCCAGTGTCCACAGCCCCTCATTGCATGACCGCCTGCGCGTACCGGGGGCGTGCGATTGGAGGGAGGCGTCCGACGCCTGACAGCGCTCGGCGAGGTGGGAGTGGCCGGGGCAGCGGACTGTCCTGGCCGGCGGAGGCCAGGCGGGAGCCCTTCCCACCCGAGAGACACCACAGGGAGGGCTGGGGGTGGGCGCGGGGCGCAGCGGGGTGGGCTGTTGCTAGGACAGCTTCCCGGTGGAGTTTGGACTCCTTGTGGGGAGACTGCCGCCAGCCGGGTGAGTCTCCCATGCCGCGTCTCCGCAGCCGTCCAGCCCGGAAAGAGACATCGAGCGGGATGTGTTCCTGTACCGCGCCTACCTGGCCCAGGTGAGTCCCGCCCGCCTCCTGGAGGGAGATGTGGGGGGCTGGACCGGGCGCTCCAGCCATCGGCTGGGAGTGCCCCCTCACAGCGGCTGTGACGGGCCACAGTCCACCTTGCTCGGACCTTCAGGGGTAGTCCGAAAGCCCCACGTGAGTGTGTCCGCGTGCAGACACGCACCAGGCTGCGAGACCAGGGAGCAGCTGGAGGGCCTGAATTGTCCCAGCATGTCCCAGGCCCCCAGGGACTAGCCACCCCCACGAGTCATGGGGAGAGTGCCTCTGCGCCTGGCCGCGGGCTGACGCCTTTTCCCCCAGAGGAAGTTCGGCGTCGTCCTGGACGATATCAAGCCCTCGTCCGCCCCAGAGCTGCAGGCCGTGCGCATGTTCGCCCAGTACCTGGCCAACGGGAGCCAGAGGTGAGGGCAACGCCCCGCGGGCGGGCGGAACCCCAGGCCCTAGCCGTGGGAGGGGCGGGCGCAGGGTGCGAGGGGGGGGGCGGTCTGCCTGTTGATCGGGGCCCTGAGCCGCCGTCGCCCTGCAGGGATGCCATCGTGGCCGAGCTGGACCGGGAGATGAGTAAAAGCGTGGACGTGAGCAATAGCACCTTCCTGCTCATGGCTGCCTCCATCTACTTCCACGAGCACAACCCAGACGCAGCCCTCCGCGCTCTGCACCAGGGGGACAGCCTGGAGGGGTGAGGCACTGGGGGGGGGGAGGCAGGGCGGGTGCCCCCTGAAACTCGGATGCCTCGGGGGTTCCGGCAGTGCTCCCTGCACACGCTCCTTCATCTCTTCTGGCGCCCCAGAGCCCCGGTCCAGGACCCCAGCAGGGTGTGGCTGCCAGCCCCGCCCCCCAGCACGGGGTCACGCCTGCTCCTTGGTTCTGGCCAAAAGAAGAAACCCACACGCTTCCCCCGAGGGTCCCCTAGACCTCAGGGCCAGTGATGCTGCTCAGCCCAGGCGGCCCTTCTGTTCTCGGGGTCCCTTGCAAGGCAGAGCTGGGTCTCCTGGGGGCGTGGACTGTCCGGAAACGGGCCCCCAGCCCCCTGCTGGAAGTGACCGCTCTGAATGGCTCATGTCCCCCAGCATGGCCATGACGGTGCAGATCCTGCTGAAGCTGGACCGCCTGGACCTGGCCCGGTGAGCCTGCCCGCCGCCCACACCCCTCTCGGCACCGCTGTCCTGGCCTCAGTTTCCCTCTGGGGCAGGCGCCTGGCTGTTATGAGGATCCGGTGGGTCCCAGGGTGTGGGGACGCGGGTCCCTGAGCAGGGGTGCCCCGCTGAGTCCCCCTGTCCCCACCCAGGAAGGAGTTGAAGAAGATGCAGGACCAGGACGAGGATGCGACACTCACGCAGTTGGCCACTGCCTGGGTGAACCTGGCCATGGTGAGTGCGGGGCGGCGTGTGCCCGGTGCTCAGCAGACCTGTGGTCCAGTTGGCCCCAGGGCGACTGTCCCAAGGCGCCTCCTGGGGTCTGTGCCTCGTAGTGCTGACCTGACAGGCGCTGTCCCGCAGGGTGGTGACAAGCTGCAGGACGCCTACTACATCTTCCAGGAGCTAGCCGACAAGTGCTCGGCCACCCTGCTGCTGCTCACGGGCCAGGCCGCCTGCCACATGGCTCAGGGCCGCTGGGAGGCTGCCGAGGGCGCACTGCAGGAGGCACTGGACAAGGTGACCGCAGCCCCTGTCCATGGGCAGAGGGGGACCCTGGCACCGCCCTCATGTTCTGCCTTCGGAGCTGCTGGCCGTGGACTTGGGCGTCTCCTCACTGGCCCAATGGCAGAGGTTTCACCCCGAGGCCTTCTTGCTGGCCTCCCCAAGACCCAGCTGCGGTGACCCCCAGCTGGAGGGGACGGGGGACTGGCAGGGACGCTCACCCCGGTGTTCTTGCCATTGCCTGGGACCGAGTGGACTCTGAGCAGAGGCTTCGGGGTTGTCCTGGATCCCACCCCTCCTTCAGTCTACGTGGGGGTGCTGGCTCAGGAGCAGAAGGACCACCAGAGGGGCATGGGACAGGGATGGGCACTGACCACGCCCCCTCGTACCTGCAGGACAGCGGCCACCCTGAGACACTTGTCAACCTCATCGTCCTCTCGCAGCACCTGGGCAAGCCCCCTGAGGTGGGTTTCGGGGCCCGGGGGAGCCGTCCTGATGGGTGCCCCTACTCCCTCCCAGATGTGCTCATCAAGTTGGGGTGTCCTGAGTCCGGGCCCACGTTGCGCCCCCTCCCTGAGGCCTCGCACGGATTCGGGGGTGGTCGGGGACCCCAGCCCCACTCAGCACAGCCCATGCCCCCCCACAGGTGACGAGCCGGTACCTGTCCCAGCTGAAGGATGCACACAGGACCCACCCGTTCATCCAGGAGTACCATGCCAAGGTAAGGCAGGCGCCAGGGGAGAGTGCCCTCCCCTCCCCCCTCCCCCCAGCTCACACCACCTCCTCCCTCCCCCGTAGGAGAGCGACTTTGACCGGATGGCACTGCAGTACACGCCCAGCGCCTGAGCCGCACCCCAGCCGCCTTCCTGCCGGGTCCCCCAATAAACACCTCCGCCAAAGTCGTGTCCTGTGTGTCTCTTCCTTCTGCACGTCACAAGCCGACTCCCCAGGCCCCACAAAATGTCTTGAGGCTTCAGCAAACTGCTGTGGCCCGACTTTAACCACCGGGGTATTAAGGACCAGCCCGCGGCATAGCAGTTAGGGCACTCAGCTCCCAGGGCAGAGGCCCACATTCGATCCCCACTGCCGCTACTTCAGGGGTCACACAGCTAATTTTTGCTCTCTGTGGAAGAAAGGTGTAGACGCAGGTTTTGCTCCGTAAACTCCTAAGTTTGCGGTGAGCCTGCATTTGGACGGATATTATTTGGATAAAGTTTTTGGATGCGTTTTGGATGAACACATGGAGAATGAGCATAGTACGGCGCAATTTCCTTCCCAGGGGAAAAACTCTGCAACTTCCCATGAGATTACTTAGGGGTTTGGGGTTTTCACCCCTGCAGGGCTCTGGGGTGCTGAGGATTGAATTCAGTCGGCCACGAGTAAGGCAAGTTTCTTTTCTCTTTTTTTTTCCCCCCTTTTTTCTGCGCAAAGCAAATAACAAACAGATGTGCCAGATGTGCCAGTGTGAAGGCAAACGTGCTACCTCTCTGAAGGCCAACAGCCTTGGAAAGGTTTCCTGTCACACCCCACATGTCTGAGGGTGCCCCTGCCCAGTTTCCGAGGAGGGGGGATTGAAGTAAGAGCTCAGGACCCCCACGTTTGAGATGAAAATCTGCCATCAAAGGAACTGAGGTGGCCACTTGTTCTTTAGTTGGTTTTATTTGGGGTCACACCCAGTGATGCTCAGGGTTTGTTTCTGGCTCTGAGCTCAGGAATCACTCCTGGTGGTGAGTGGGGACCGTATGGGGTGCTGGAGATCAACCCCAGGTCACCCTCGTGCAAGGCCAGCGCCTGTTGCGCTACACTGCGTCGCCTCAGGCTGCCGGCTTGACCCTTAATTACTCCCTGGTTAACAGTGAGGCAAACCCAAGGGTGAAAGTTTCTTAGAGGAACATCCCTGGGGAGGGCAGGAAACGCCCCACAGCGCCACCTCGTGGCGTTCCAGCGGAGCTGCCGGCCGACTCCCACGCTAAGATTTCCAGTCCTTGGGTTTGCTTCAGTGTTAGCTGTGGGCTCATTAAGGATCGAGCACGCAGCGTTGAGTTCAGAAAACATGGGCACGGGACACAAGCGGTCAGTGGCCAAGTTGCCTCCCCGGACCGGTCAGTGGGGCAGATGGGGAGACAGGCTGGTTGTTGGTCAGCTTGTTTCTCCTCCTCCCCCTTCCAGCTTTGTTCTCCTCTCCTACAGCGTAGCTCTTTTCTCCCCCTCTTTCTCTTACCTCCCTCACAGTGTGGTTCTTCCCGCTCCCCCTCCTTACAGCTATATAGAAGTCATGGAGGTACGCATAGGTGGGGTTGAACATTATCTTAACAACCAACACGTAAAGCCCCTCCTTCAGGGGAAGTTCTCCTAGGAGATACACTCAGACAAAATCTCATCCGGGGGTTCAGTAGATTACTAGGAGATCTGCTCTTAGTACAAT